CCCCAAGAAAACCGAGGCGCAGCCGAGATTGACAATGTTTTTCGAGGGGTGAAAATTTTCAATGTTACACTCAACTACATGCAATATTTATTATATTATACTGAATGTTTTATACAAATACATTTAAGGAATAACTGTCTTATTTTTCGAATTCATGAAGTGATCAATGGATTGGCTTGTGTGATAATTTGCATAAACGCCGAAGGCGTTTATGCATAAAATTATCACACAAGCCAATCTATTGATCATCTTCATGAATTCGAAAAATCTGACAGTTATTCCTTATATTTACATGCTTTGATTCCGCCAATCCACGGGCTCCAAGCCTGCTTCTCTCTAGGTGTTGTCCCGCCCTACACGTGTTTTTTTTTTTTTTGGAACCGCGCCAAAACATTCATGAGGAAATAAATTGCATTTACAATTGGTAATTTTATCTCGGACAAAGACATTGGAAATGTAAATATATAACAGTGAACCGTGCGCGCATAAATTCTGCGCAGTCGCTATTTTTTGGAATACCATCGGTCGTCAAGCAATGTTGACTGTTGCTACGCTGGAGGGCGTGGCTTCATTATTCAGCGGGTAATAGTGTTTTTAAACAAATGTTTCTCGACCATTCAGATTCAACTAATTTACATGAAAGTATAATATTTCATTTTATTTTAAGAAACAATTACATGTATATAAACTGTGAAATGTATTTATCTTATTCTGAAAAATATCCTTGAGCGTTTAGAAAATGTTTCTGTCTTCTACTAATGTTTTTTAATGTGAATTATAAAATTTTATCTTAAAGTGTAACATATTGAGTATATACATTTGACTTCTGATTAATTTTCGAAATACGTATATTTTATGTTTGTAACACGATGCTCAGAAATATTTTAACTGAAAAAGCGGCCTCTTAAACTGCATTACTGCTTTAAACTGCTTTATGGGAAAAGGAGATTCAAGGTTCTTCAAATAAAGGGCCATGCCCTCTTCCAAGAGGAGATAATTACAAATTAGTATAAAACAAATGGCATCTTTGAAAATTCTTATTAAGAACCACTGGGCCAGGAAAGATGAATTTCATGTGGAATCATCCTCAGACTCAAGTTTGTTCAAATCATGATTACCAGGGGTAGGATGGGACCAGAATGGGGTTCAAATTTTAACATAGAAATATATAGGAAATATCTTTTAGAATCTTCTCAAGAACAACAAGGTCATAAATGGTATTTTTTACGCGGGATTTTAATGGTTTATGTTTTATACGTTAAATATGGCGCTGTGCGTAACATTAAAACCTTTGGCAATTGTAGACTGCCGTACCGCTGCTTCCAGTCGCCCATTTTCCTTTTTGTGTTATGCAACATCCAGATAAAGCATTTTTAGAAAGCTTCACTTTTCAGATAAAATCAGATTCAAAATGTCGAGAACCCCCGCTTTTGATAGCCCCTTTGTACCTGAAGGAATTGCATCAGAAACCATAATGATAATTGAGATCATTTTTTTTTGGCGTGGGGGGTGGGGTTGCAAAATCAGGTCTTTTTGTCTGTGAGACTTGCAGAATAGCTGTAAAGTTAACAATTGCATTAAAAAAAATCACAAATTTCACTCGAATGCATCATATCCATCTAAAAAAGAGGTATGGCATAACTATTATACATGCATTTTTCAGGGCATTGTTTCTACTATGCGTTTCCTTTTTGATGAGTTTATTTTCCTGCTTATCTTTGGTGTTTTCTTTACAAATGTCTATTTTGTTTTTGTTACAGATCAACCCAGCTCTTTGTTCGATACCTTTTATGTTCAGGATGTTTGGTGGTGTTCATTGTGTTTTTTGCACACACGTTACCTATAGTGCATATGAATGGAAGTAAACAAACATTCACTCAGAAAGTCACTCACAGTAAATATGAGCATTCATCTCAGTCCATTTCTGTCCCTAGTACGACAGTGAAACCAAAGGTAGCCAACTATTCATATCCATTAAATGTCGACTTCGTTCAGTTATTTGAGGATGAACAAGTACGAGACCGAGGAATACCCATCAGAAAGATTAATCCGCATAATTTCTCTTACATAGCCAATCCTACAAAAATCTGCAAAAGTAACTCTCATCCAAATGAAAGCGAAGTTTTCGTTCTTATTTTAATAAAGAGTGCCCGAGAAAACATCCATTTACGGCATTCCATACGTTTGAACAAAAAACATGAAAATTTTCAAAAATGGAAAGACCGTGTTCGGATTGTTTTTCTTTTAGGATATTCATTTTCGGAGAGCAATGCGGCGATTTCAAAGGAAAGTGCCATTTTTGGAGATATAGTCCAAGAAGACTTTGAAGATACATACAGAAATGTTACTTTCAAGACTATCATGGGCTACAACTGGGCTAAATCATATTGCTCAAGAGCAACTCATATACTTTACCAAGACGATGATTTCCATTTTAATATAGACATCTTATTCAAATTTCTAATACGTCATAAAAGTCCACAATCTGTGTACATTGGACATTACGTCGAAAATGCCCCACCGACGAGAGAGAAAGCACATAAGCATTATGTGTCTTTTGAGGATTATCCACATGCAACCTACCCCCCTTATTTTCCAGGAGGAGCATATGTTATCAGTTCGAACATTGCCGAACAGTTGACCCGAACGTTTCCTTATGTCAAGCATCTGGCTGTCGATGACGCTTATGTTGGAATTGTAGCTCAAAAACTTAATATTACTCTTAAACATTCGGAGCTCCTAGATTTTAGTAACTGTACCAAGTACTCTAAGGTAATAGCTTGTCAAGGTTATTCAAACGAAAAAGAAATTTTTGATGGATGGAGGAATCTTTTCAGAGAGATGGATATTTCGAATTTCAAAATTAATTATAATTAATTGTAGAAAAAAATTGCTGAGTGATTCTTTAACGGCAGGTGGGGCCAACACCTGGGATCAGTTCTGAGGGACAACGTTCATGATAATTGAGATAGTTGTGATAATTCGACATATGTTAGGCCTATTTTATATTATGAAATCAATGTCTCGATGTGATAATTCTTGCTCCACCAGGGATGCATATTTTCTTTTGAAAAGGTCAGAGGTTACTTTTTTAAAAATATTTATTTCTACTTGTATTCAACAGGGCAGTTTGCTGTTATAGTATTTCAACTCATTTGGAGAGTGTCCTAATTGTGTGAGACAACACAAGACGGACATTCATTTGTTTGTCATTGAATAGGTGTTAAATTTAATTTTCTAAAGCGTACAGAATAGGACGAATAAATAATTGCTTCATGTGCATGAAGAAAGAATGACTTGAAATTATAACCAAATATACAAGATATACATATGAATTATTTATTTAAAAAAATAATAAAACACAAATGGTCAACTTTATATTTGTACTAGTATTTCGAAAGCTATAAAACATATACCTTGAAAAGTAAAACTAGACAAGAAGTCATCAAAATTATCTTTTCTTGCAAATTTGACGTATCTACAAAATTGTAACATAGATTGATCGGTGCTTATTGAAAATTATAACTGTTTAACACTTTGCTTGCATTACATTTTGACCTGATCTATGTGGAAGCTCGTTTAGGTGTCTTCCCGGGAGTCATTTTATGCATGTAAAATGAGATATAACACCCTATAGATCGAACCACCATCCCAATAATTGAGGTTTTATCAAATAAGAATATCTCAGTTTAAAAACCTAATAGGATTCATCAAATATTTAAAATGACAAAAAAGTCCCATTAATTTTAAAAATCACTGCTTAGCAAACTAGCTGGGCGGATATTAGGGAAAATATTTCACTAACTGCAGAAACAAGCACCTTTGACTATTATTCGAATAAGATATATGTTGGTAATTCAAGTTTCGGCCATTTTCAAGATGGCCGCCACTTATTTCTAAATGAAGTCCATTTTTTCATAGTTTTTTCCTGATATTTTGAATGTTTTAAGTAATATTTTCGCTCACCTGAGCTGAAAGCTCAAGTAAACTTTTCACATTTTCAACATCTTCACAAGAACCACTGGGCCAAACTTGGTAAGGGCCAAGTCCCCTTACATTCAGAAGGGGAGATAATCAAGAAAAGACAAAAATAGGTGGGGTCATTAAAAAATCTTCTAAAGAATCACTGAGCCAGAAGAGCTGAAATTTATGTGGAAGCATCGTGGGGAATTGTAGATTCTAAATTGTTCAAATCATGGCCCCCAGGGATAGGGCGGGGCCACAATATTGAATCCAAGTTTACATCTACATATATAGGAAAATCTTTAAAATTTTCTCAAGAACCACTGGGCCAGAAAAGCTGAAACGTATGTGTAAATATCCTGGGGTAAAAAATCATGACCCCTGGAAATAGGGCAGGGTTACAATAGGGAATCCAAGTTTTACATTGAAATATATAGGAAATATCTTCTTCTCAAGAACTTCTATCTTTATGGATATGCACATGTAAAAAAGTATCTGGATTTGCATGCATTTCTCCAAGGAAATTGAGCAGCAAAAATTAAAACATAAAAAATGTCATTAATTTAGCTTCTCTTTTATTCAACACAACCATTTTCATTCACTTCTATATGTTTGTACTGAATCTACCTGGAAATTCAGGATAGACTGTCACAATAAATCATTTTGTATCATGTTTGACATGACTCAGAATACAAATATACAATAGAATCATTTTTAATGGTGGGGGTCAATGTTCATGTGTAACCAAACTTTCAAGGTGAGGATTTCATGGTTGAACCATGAGTACATACATTAGTGAATAATTTGACAAAACTTGACAAAGATTATGTGGATGTTAATCTGTTGATAAGGGAATTATACATGTAAATAAATTGATATATTAGCACAATCAAATTTTACTACATAACTTCGTGGGTCTCTCCAAACCTTGAAAACAACGAAAATTAAACCCCCACGAAAATAAGTGATTTCACAGTACGTAAATAAATTGACATATTAGCATAATCATTTTCTACTGTGTGGTTGGCATAGTGATAAATTAGTGCTACATATATTCATGCTGTGTATTGTATTCAAAAATGATTCTAAAAGGGTATTGTGCAAAAAGTACACTGTTGTCTACCTCAAAAGAGTAAAAGTAAAGAAACTCTGTTGTTTTAAGTACATCTACAATGTCCAACGAAATCACTGAACATTGGTCCCCCACAAACAATGATTTCACAGTAAAAATTATGCTGCTGACCCTGTTGAAAAAGAAAATAGAATTCAACTCATCAACAAATTAAAAGAAAATTACACTGATTGCAATTACAATGCATTTTTTGTATTAAACATCAATATTTGTTTCAAAACTTTCACAGAGGCACTTTTCTTAATCTTTAAACTAAAAGGTGATATTTTAATAATTCGCATAATGTAAATATACTTATCACAGATAAATCTATTTTGTCTATAAGAATGCATGGAATCATACTGCAGTTTCTAGCAAAACTGTGAAAGTAAAAATATACAAAAAAAACAAAACAACCATTTCAAACTTGTGACAATAAATTTAAAAGAGAGCCATCTTTACTTAATACCGTACTAAAACTTTATCTTTAACAGCTGAAAATAAAAATTATTTGGAATTCATTCGTAAGTCTTTTAAATATATGAATATAAAAAATGAGCATATATGCATACTGAAATATTTAAGATAAAAATTTAAAAAGATTTTTTATAAGCTGTATTAAAACACAACACTAAGTATCCTAGTCCAAGCCTGTTGGGCTTCAAGCACTTCAGTTTGTCAACTTTAGTCTGGATCATTGGAACAGGTAGTTGGAAAACGAAAAATTATGGGCCCTTAACGCGACGTTAACAGGAACAAGTGGACGACTCTTTGACCTCGGACCGTTGAGAGCGGAGATGTATAGTACTACCAGGGACCACAGATCTCGCCATGGAATTAGAAAACCCATCCAACTCGGCATGTTTTGTCATCATCTCCTCAATCAAGAATCTTAAAAAAAAACACAACAGTTGTATATAAAGTTAAATCCCATCAATGACTGATATGTTTTCTTCATGAAACATTTAATATTTGGTACAATTTCTAGATTTCTTTTACAAAGCATACAGCAACCTTCAAAGAAGAGGTCCCTTAATCATGGGGCAACTAATCAGTAGTAATCAGCTATAATCAAAAGTGACCCCCCATCCCACAAAAACCACTCTTACACCAGAACCCCTGACCCATGGGTAAGGAAATTCAAAATTTTGGAAGAGACACCCTTCCCCAATCACCAGAAACTCTGGGAGATTAATATGACAGAAGTGGACAGTGAAAAAGCCAGGATATTATAGGAGCATTATTGGAGGTTTGCTAAAGTGAAGTTAGCTTTATATGTTTCACTGTATTAAGTTCCCCTAATATGCCCCTGTCTGGTTGTGGGCTCAAATCAAGACTTTTCAGAGTATGCACTCTTTAAGATGATAGCAGTAGAAGAGTTATGAACCCAAGAGTTTTACCTCATTGACTCATCAATCATGAGTCCTTCTTTAACGGAGGTTTCTGTCCAGCCAACAAAGTCGTGCTCCTTACACATGTCCTCAATCTCATTCTGTTGGACTTCTCGATGGCTCAAGTCACACTGTACATAAACAACAAAGATATCTTTTGTCAATGTTAAATATGTGAGACACTGATCCTTCCGTGAAAAAAAAACTAGGCAATTATTTTAATAAATTAATATATATTCTTGATTCTTAGAGAGAGAAATGAAGAAAATTAATGATTTTAAACTATATAAATTAAATTATGTTTATTGTACAGCGAAGATTAAATCTTCAGAACTGGAAAATATAGGTCATATTTAGCATTCGAAGCAGATTGAGTAGTGTGCATCAGCTATGCTAGTGTGGTCAGTGTAGGGCCTATAGTTACTTGAGAATGTACATGCTCCAAAAACTTTAACCTGATAACCGGAGCACTCGTCTGGAAAATCCATATTATTACCCTCTGAAGAGAAGGCTTAGACTTTTAAGTTGAAAACTTAAATTGTAGCTTACACACACACCTTATTGGCCAGGAGTAAACAGGGTATAGGTGACCCGTCAGCTAGGGAACACTTCGTGTCAAGGTCTTTCTTCCATTTTACAGCATTCTGGAAGGTGGACTGCTGGGTCAGATCAAACATAATAATACAGGCATGGGCGTCTTTATAGTAGACCCGGGTCATGGACGTAAAACGTTCCTGACCTATAAAATTAATATAAAACATACAACACTTAGTTATGTTCCCCAAACGAAGTTGGGGAACATATTGTTTTTACTCTGTTTCTTATTATTATTATTATTATTTTTCTTCTTCTTCCTGGGTACTTTTTTGTCCGGGAATGATCTTGTAACCTGTTCGTCCGATGTAGGTAAAACCTTTTTAGAGTCAGTAGACATGTTATGTAGATTTGCGGAATCAAGGCCATTTTGCGCGCACGTGCTTGCAAGAGCGCGCACGTGCAACACGTGAAATGACCAATATAATGGATATAGCCGCAACTTTTCTATTTTCTGATAAAATACTTTGAAACTCATAATGTGAGGATATATTATTAGTATAGATATGATGACATGGTCAAAATAGCAAGATCTCACGCGCATGCACGTGCGCTTTGCTCTGATTGGCTAAAACTAAAGTCTCAATATCTTTCTTGTTTTTTGACAAAATCCTTTGAAATTTTGAACATAGTCATATATTAGGAAGATCTACAGCCTGATATATAACAATTATCATAAAAGCATGCGCATGCAAATGTGCTGCAATCTGATTGGCTGAAACTTTAAATGCCTATAACTTTCTTGGTTCTCAACAGAACGGGATGAAATTTAGAATATGGATAGGTATGATGGATTACTACATTATGTTACAATTAGAATTGAATGCAAGGACACGCATGCATGCACGTGCATGCGCACAATAAGCAAAATGACCAAAATATTTGAAAAACGGTAACATTTATATTTTTATGATTTTCTTATTGATTCTCATGACATAAAGAAATGTTGATGGTTTAGACAACATGCCATGATCATCTTGCATGTGCATGCACGTGCGTGCGCGTGCAATGAGTTAAATGACATATAGTCGGTCTAATTGTAGCTTTAATAATTCTTATATGAAATCCTTTAATACTGAGCATATTTTAAAAATGTCTAACAGGAAAATGGCACAAAAAAGGGATTTGGGGAGCGTTTGGGGAACATCTGTAACGGTCCCCGTTACAATTAAAACTAGTTTTCTTTATTGTTGATAAAGGAATGATTAAATACATAAGGTTGCTTATCATGCTTATCAAACCAATTTTATTGAATTTATTTTTACCTGTGTAAACAATCAAAATCATGTCTTTTGTAATCATGTTCATATCTATACAATTATTTACATATATTTGTTTAATGTACACTATGACAGATAGTTCTACTAGGAAAAAAATACTCGGGTTAACCATAGTGATAATTGTCGGCAAGAATAGGGGGAGGGGGGCTAATTTGTCTGTCCCATAGACCTTTCTTATCATTTCATTATCTTTAAATTACTGTAATCCAAACTGATTTCCATGCTCAAGAAATTTAATGCATATCTAAAAGGATAATTTGCCACCATTTGGCAACAAACTGTCACTACGTACATTTGCATTTCACAAGCAAGTAAGTATATGTAGGTTTTCAAAATGTTTACAATTCTTTCAGTAAATCCTAACTTATATTGAGTGTATAAACTGACCTGCAATATCCCAGAGCTGAAGCTTTATGGTCTGAGTATCTGACCACTTCACAACCTTTAGAGCAAAATCAACTGAAAAAATAATAAAATTAATCAGAATATACAATGTGCTGTAAATAAGTCATAACAAAAAATATAAACACGAAGCTTCATTTCATATGGTAGGTAAAATGAACTTGTATGTAATTGTCGCTGTGTTCACAAGTGTGTGAAAGTTGGATAATATATCAGATCTCAATAGCTAAGTGGTACATTGTAAGAGTACTGGCAAGGTATGCCAGAGGCCCTGGGTTCAAGTCCTAGTCAAGACTTGATTTTCACTATGTTCACCATCTATGATGTATACAAATTTTTTGAATGCCATGAAAAACTATTCCTGAAACATTATAAGAAACATACATTTTGTAAAGTAATAAATTATTGCAATTAAAGACTTATATTCATCAAGATCATATTGCTTTGAGGGAACAAATCCTACAGATTGCACAAATGCTAGCAGCATGCATGCAAAGTATTAGATAGTATATAAGATTTCATTAGAATGATTATTGTCCTTCTGAACCCAGTTTAAGGTGGGCAAAGGATTGTCCCGAGATATATTTAGATTATTCTCACTAGCAGATGACACTGTATAGTCATTTGCATCCACTTACCTCCAATGGTCATTTTATAGTCCCGTCTGTATGCATCATTTACATATCTCTGGACGAATGACGTTTTACCAACCGTGGGGTCACCGATAATAATGACCTTGAACAAAATTTCTGTCATTATTTTAAACCTCATTCACTGCTTTAGGTTTCTTCTGAAGGTCAGCTTAGTTTATCCATTGTATGCAGAATGATGAGAAATCCCTACTTCTAAATCATCCTGAAATGTTTCACATAAAATCAATCACATCTTTTAAAATCAGTCAATAAAAACAAATTGAAAAATTGCAACTAGGCCTAATAATGCCTCAAACCTTGGTATAAAAGTATGTAATGATCAGATGACAGAATAACCTGTACACTGTAAAATACAAAATATTTAGGTAAAAAGCTATTACCTAGGAGAATTTAAAGGAAAAAAGCCGATCTCTTGTGACTTCTCAACGACAAACGTAGTTTACCTTAAGTCTTGACACCTAACATTGATTAATTGACTTATTTTTTCCCTATCGGTTTGTATCAATATATGAAATATGACTATGAACACATTACTTCCGCCAAAACAAACGTATCACATGATCCTGTCATATGATTGTCACCTCAAAAGACAAAAGAGTTCCTTTTATTATTGGCGGGATATTCAAATCTAATATAGATAAAAATTTAATTCAACCATACTCTTTAATAATTTCATTTAAGACTACATTAAATTTGATTTTTTTTTTTAATTTTTCAATTTACAATATAGCCAACAAGTAAGGCCAAAAAAAAAAATACTTTCTCAGGCCAAAAAAATCAGAATTCAATGCGGCAGGCAGGCTTTTCTTTTTTTTCTTTTTTTTTTTTTTTTGAAGCAGGATTTAGTCTACACCTTTTTTAAAGTCATTTGTTCAATAAATTGATAATATTACATCTTAAGTTTTGTTCTTTGAAATTAGTAATGAATATATATTCAACTTTAAATAATGTTATTCCAAACATTTATTTAAAAGTTAATTTATAAAATACTTTAAATTTAGAAGAAAGATATTGTTTTTCTAATAAAAACGTCTTTCTCAGCATTTATGACAAGGGCAATAACTCGATTTTCTTTTTCAACTTGGAAAAATAGAGTTATTTCCCTTTTCAAAATATCAATTTTTTGAGAAACTATTGATTAATTTTTTGGGGCCTAAATCAAATCTCACATCATATTTTCTACAGTAAAAATTTACTCTGTTTTTACTTGTTACACTTAACATCCAGCAAAGTGTGCTTTGTATCTTTGATTTATATGTTTTGGTTTCCAAAAAGAAATTTCATGACACCCCCCCCCCCCCCCCCCCCCCCCAAAAAAAATAAATAAATAAATAAAAATTTTAGGTATAAGGCTTATATTCCCCATTTTAAAAAGTGAGTTACATTAAATTTGACTTTTTTTTTTTAATTTTTCAACTTTACATTTTTTAAAAGAAGGAAACGGTTTGCAATTTTTTTTTTAGATAATAATCGATTTTATAAAGGGTCTGTTGCTCCCCCCTTTCTAGAAAGCTATACGAATTAGCCAGGCACGTATCATCGTCTTTAAAAGTGGGGGGGGGGGGGGGCCAAAGAAATATGGGGGACAAGCAAAGAAAAACCTTGCCCAAAGTCGAAAAGCTACTAATTTCAGTACCAGTTCCTTGGCATACATTACTACATTTCCCTTACTGTAGTATAAACTGTGTGTGTGTTGGGGGGGGGGGGGATGGCAGCTTTCAATGAACATTTTCAATAGAAAAAGTAAAACATGAATAACACAAGTAAATCAAATCTCACATCTAAAACATATTTTCGGGAATATGCATGTACAAATGCATCCTGTAAAATGACATCGACATATGTGAACTCGATGTTTTTACTTGTTACACAGGTAACATCCAGCAAAGTGTGCTTTGTAATCTTTGATTAACTATATGTTTTGGTTTCCAACATGTCGGGGTAAAACTGTAGATGGACATGTCATCAGTCTCCAAAAAAAAGATGCAGAGAAGAAAATTTGCAGCATGCTAGGTAAAAACTAAAAATTCTTACATTTGTTCTGCACATTTTGTAAATAGTGATGATGTCTGCAGAACATCCACTACCCCCCCCCCCCCCACACCCCTTATTATACTACTATACAGATTAATACAAAAAAAAAATTTAAAAAAATAAATAAATTCACAAACACAATAACAAATAAAAATTGTAGATATAAGGCTTATATACTTGGGAATGGACCTAAGCTGCTCCAAAAACTTTAACCTGTTCACTCATCTGGAAATTGTAGGTCAGATTCCAGCATCTGAAGCAAGTCTAGTAGTGTCCATCGATCCCTATATGCATCATATACACAAGTTTGCTTTAGGTAGGACTTAAAGTTACTTGGGAAATGACTTGCTCCAAAACTTTAACCTGGTTACTCATCTAGAAAACGTTGGTCAGATCCAGCATCCAAAGCAAGTCTGGTAGTGTCCATCTCTAAATGCATCATCCATGCAAGTTTGGTCCAGGTAGGGCTTATTAGTTACACGGGAATTAATGGACTTGCTCCTAAATCTTTAACCGGGACACCAACGGAAATGCCGGGGGTATAGAAGAAGCTTTGCGACATCAAAATAATTTAGACCTATACTCAGCAGAGGGCCACTGAGCAAAGGGATCTTTCGTACCAGCACCTACTGCAACATGAAAACTCAGTTTATAAGGTCTCCAAGTCTTGCAGTTGGATTCCAACCCACAATGCAATTATCAGATCCTAACTTTGAAATATCATATTGAATCAAATGCTTTAACAACTGTGACAATGTGCCAAGTAAATTATTAATTCATAGAAATAAATTCTGGTGGTTTGGCATCTGTAAGTACTAGTGTTACACATTTTTAGGACCATTTCTAGCTTAGTTTGGACTTTCAGTAAGGCGTGGCATTTTCAACGTTAAATAATTAGCTTCTGAAATTTACACAGCTTTCCTTCACTGTTGAAACATACATGGGATAGAAATTCGGGCAAATGCCAATTAGTGTATCGAATAACCAATTACATTGTTTCATCCTGCAAAGAGGTGGAGCTTAAGTCGTCTCATCGTCGTCCACAATTTAAAGTCCCTGATGTTATTAATTTCTTAACCAATGAGAATCTATTCGCCATTTGACAGGCGGTAAACATGTAGCGCCGAGAATGCCACACCTTACTGAAAATCCAAACTAAGCTGGAAATGGTTCTATCACCAACGGCCTAATGTGTTTTGTCTCTATGACTTCAAACACTTTCAAGATTGGTTCAGCCAGTTTTTTTTCCCTTTTCTATCTGACATATTCAAAATATGTACAGGTAACGCCATTCTATAAAAATGATACGAGTTTTTCATCATTCATTTCAATTCTGTGCTCCTAGAGACATTCAGCTCAACATCCTCACAATGTCTGATGTTCTGGCCTGGGGGCACTAAACCTGAGGATGATTCCACATGAGTTTCACTTTCCTGGCCCAGTGGTTCAGAAGAAGATTTTTAAAGATTTTTCCTATATTTCCAAAGGCCCCACCCTTGCCCCGGGGGTCAATATATAGTGGAAAAGTGAGACTGAGATCAAAAGTGAGCTTTTCTAAGTTTTATGGCCCCCAGGCCTGTTTAAACGTGTTGCCATTAGACTCCTAGCACATCTAATTCAATATATCACAGTCACAATGTAGTGTCTCATGATAAAATAACAAATCTTGATAGTTTTTCATAACTCTCTCGTCTTAACCAACAATATTAAGCCTTTCGATATTAAAAAATGTGTTATACATCATTTGCAATGATTCCTTTCTGTTAACATTATCCGTCTTATATGATAAGTGCTTCGAAATAAGAAAAGCACCCCCTCCCATAAACAACCAATTTGTCAGGAGTCCCACAGCACAGTTTTTCACAGGACCCCTGAGGCTGTGAGGGTGTCAGCTCAGGTGTCTGGAGATCCAGACAAATATCACTATTAAACTTCCTCAATTAAGAAATATGTTGCAATTCATTAGAAATGCTTTTATTTTTCTCTCCTTCTCACTCTCATTCATGATACATTCATAATGAAAAACAAATAAAAATGGGTATACAAAGTGTTACATCGAAGACTGCATGTTCCACATACTTGTTTCTACAAGTGATACATCTAAACATTTACATGTACATTAGAGCAGATCTTAATGTAGCTTACAAAATCTCAAAAACAGATTAGTGTAATTAACCAAAAAGGATCTCTTATATTATTTATAGACAATATAGCAAAATCAGGTTTTAAAGTATTTAACAGAATGCAGTTACTATAGAATCTTTTCCATGCATTAAATGCAAATATGTGTAAAATTGACTGTAATAAAATTTGCAACAAGTTTTACAGCAGAGTTTTTTTTTAATACCTTATCTTTTTTAGAAAAAAAAAAAGCAAATGGATGTGTATATTGCAAGAGAAATGAAAAAGAAAGTAAAATAGTTGGCGATGGGAACACAATAACTGCTGCCTGACGGACCATTGGTCTTTAAAGTTTCCCCGCAAGTATAAGTTTGTAAATACTCTAAAACAACATCAAATATTCATGAACTTTTCAAAAATCTCCTATAAGCACTAATCTAGTCTTATCCAGCTTTATGGTTTGTGTCCTTTCACAAACTGATTCAGAGGTCCCAAACTTCTGTACACACTTTTCTCGAAGTGGTGGTAAAACTGGAGAATATTCCACTTTAAACTCTTTCAGTCATCTATGTATGGCAACCAAAAAGCCTGCAAAAAGTGTGAATAATAAAAACTTCCACATTTTTTAATAAGTTTTAATTTGCCCCTCAATTCTCAGTAAGTCATTTAAGATTTCTGCTAACTGTATCAGTGAAAGAAATAAGGAAGAATACCATATTAGTGCAGGCTGATGCCAGCATCATGTATTTGGGGTTGAACTGTAGGCATTGGATTGGTCCAGGATGGTCAGCATTCATCACAGCGACCTTGACCCCGGTCTCTGTGTTCCAGCAGTGAATTCGTCCATCAGTTGAACCTGAATAAAGATACACTTCATCTGTACTTTCATTACAGAAAATCATTTTGCATAATTGATTTCTAGAAAAAAGGAAAATATACAGTGAAGCATCCTTTTTGGGGAAAGGTACATGTAAACTGATATCTTGTTCATAACACAAATTATATCAGTGATAGCCAATGTCCATGACAAATATTTGTTATTTTTTCAACCAATATACCATCTCTGGAAAATATTTATGACTAAGTCAGTGTTCACAGCATCCTTTGAACTGTGTCTGACAATACAATTCTAAGTCTCCTTTTTTCTGCCTTTGAGCTTTGACATTTGGAATGTAAATACACATTTTTTCCTCTTGTCTTAGGAGGGGGGGGGGAAGAAATAACTTCTAAAGTGTATACTGTCCTTTATGTAATACATGTATTTTGAAAACAAACATCAGAAATTCTTAACCAATAAATGTACACATTCTCTGTTGTTACTATATATGCAGCGTAAGCTTTACTTTTCAGATTTACTGTATTTAATAAAACACTCAGAAAGCTATACTTCTCAGACTTACTCTATATAATAAACTTACCACAGAATGCAAATCTGGAGTCGGGACTAAAGGAAGCCTCCAAAGGAATACCTTTATTGTTCTGAAAACCCTGTAGAGGAAAAACATATTGATAAGCTCTGAGAAGACCATTGATATCAATATATATATATATACATTTTATATATATTTTATATATACATATATATATATTATATACATATAATTCAACATATGAGCAACAAAGTACAACAGGCAGTAGTTCTTGAGGAATTATTTTAATCTGTAGGTTGCTATAAATTAGAGAAATAGAAGATAAAATTTCATTGGCTTAAACCCTGTTTTAACCCATTACCCTATTCCTACATTACATAACATTAATCAAAGTTTAAAAAAAAAAATCATGGCTCAGAGTCTGGGGCATCCAACAATTGCAGAATTTTTTCCCCATACATGTATAAATATTTTGATTTTTAAGTAAAACATGTAGACAAGAATCAACTCCTTTGTTTCCTTTATCATTTTTTTTTTAAATGTACAATCTATAAAATACTCTCTAAAAAAAATTTGTAAAATGATTAAACTTTTCCATTTTTATATCAGATGATAAAACATTAAATTCTCTTTAACAAGCCTCTGCCAATTTTCTTTTAAATTCATGATGTAATCAATAAAATTTGTTCACATATATTAGTAATATTTCCGATCACTTACAACTTAATAATCTAGATGCAAACATTAATTTTCTTTTACTTTAAAATTAAAGAAAAACAAAATGAAACAGTTGTTAACTTTACCATAAATGTCTGGAGTGGTGTCCCCTGGAAGGCATCGATCAGTCGTAAGATTTGTCCGTTAGTGGAGATCAGAATTAATTTTCCGTCAGGACTAAACTTCATTCCCGTCCAATCACAGTCTTTGTCCTGGGTTAATTTAAAGGTCGTAAATGGACCCTAAAAGTTACAATTACTTCCAATTAGTTTTATATGTATCATAAGTTCATAACTTAATACTGTACATGCATCTCATTTTCATTTTATACGTGTATATGATCAATAAAGCATATCACTGGTTTTTGTATTCAGGACAGCCATTCTAAAAATACATGTTAAGACTTTGATAGGTTTGCTTTTATAAATTGAAAAGTTGAAATGTATATGCCCCCCCCCCTCCCCTTTAATTCCTGGGGAATGAGGAGAGTGCTTGATTTGAAAAAACTTGAATTCAGACTTAATAAAGATGCTTCAAAATTTATATGATTAATGAAGACTTTGAAAGATTTTCCCAGGGTTTTACTTAAACTCATCTTACCATTGTGGTCCCATCCTACCACCGGTTTTATGATTTAAACAAGCTTGAATCTTCAACAACAGAAGATGCTCCCATATTAATATTACTAATCACTGCTTTGATGATTAAACATCTGATTTTAAAGTTGTTCCCCACATATTTGTATATAAAATCTAATGTGGCCCTATCACACCACTGGGGTCATGATTTGATGAAATTTGGATTAACACTAACTAAAGATGCTTCCTTTTTTTAAAAAGCATAAATAATGGTTTTGCTGTTACATCTTCCAATGTATAACTTTGATTTGTTGTGACACCAGCCTACCCTTGTAGGTCAAGGTTTCTAAAATACCTGATGATGCGCCTTTGTTAATTTCACTTTTCCTAGCTTCGCTGGTCATCATCATCAGATTTTTTAATATATATTTTTTATATATTCCTGTGTATAATTTTTAACACAACACCTATTGTAGACCTGCCCTACCCTGGAGGTTATGATTTAAACAACTGAAGCAACACTAGGTTATGAAGTTTTCACAAAAGTTTCATTCTTCCTGGCCCAGTGGTTCCAGTGGTTCTAATAGGAACATTGTAAGATCAGTGTTTTCAATAAGAGCCGGCAACCGGCAAAATTAACCGCCTGTACAAGTAATTTTGCCGGCTATGAATTTTCCGTCATTAGGATTTTGCCGGTGCTGATACGCGAAATCCATAGATTTTATCGCAACTATTTCCATGATCTAGAGTAGCTTCCCTTGAGTGCGCTCTTTTTTCAGATCATAGTGTCAGGTAATGGCGTCGCGGACAACGAATATTTGAGCGAAGTCGTGGAGAAATGTGCTGCTGCTTTAACACATGCGTTTGAGATCACATACATTAAGAGGCATAAAGAATAGTCCCTTCCGAAAAGATTTGTTTGTGTTTTATAATTTTCGATTGAAAATTGATCATGTATCCATTCTAATTCTTACAGAATTTCCGCAAACTGAAAATCTCAAATGTTAACCTGATATAATAATTACGAATAAAAGTCTTGATATTTTAATCGTGACTCAGACATAGAAATTCTTACAGCATTTCCACAAACAGAAATTGAAAAAAAATATTCTCTTTTATCCGTCTAAGAACGCTTGAAATACAGGAACAGTATCATTTTCACATTTGGGAAGGTTTTAATGTACTAGTATTTTGTATCAAATACCATTTTCTATATATTTTGTTCTGACTATCTGCACAAAATGTCAAAAACGTAGATCAGTTTAAAGATTAATTTATGAAAAGTCTAAGATTGCAGAATATTTCAATTTTTGGGGGGTACTGTACATGACCAAGTGTTTAAAAAATCTAAAATTTTCAACCAAATAATTTTTTGAGTTTTGAATAAAAGTCCTGACCAATTTATGTGAAAGGGACTAAATATGTAGAATTTTAAATATGATATTCTACCACAGACAATTGTCTGTACTAGAATTTCATACTTAAGTTGTCTGTATGTTTTTATAGACACTTAGTTTTCGGAAGAAAAAAAACCAGTCTGTCAAAAATCTTGTCAAACAAATCTGTAAAAAGGTAAAAAAAATTTAATTGGCTTTTTTAGGTAAAATTTGATAATTGATACTGACAAGAATGTGAAAAAAAATTACTTTTTTAATGGCCTGAGAGGTCAGAAAAATGAGTCAAAAATGCTGATTTTCGTTTCCGGCCGGGGGGCTTCGCCCCCCTGGGCCCCCTACCAGGGCTCTGCCCTGGACCCGCTGGGGGCCTAACGCGGCCCCCAGACCCCTCGCCGAGACTGGTTTCCTGCTATTCCATCTATTTTTCCTTCTATTGAAAATCTTATTGAAAACACTGAAGATACCATTAAATTTATATTAATTCTTAATCATCCCCTCTTGAAATAAGCCATGGTCCTTCATCTGATCAAACTTGAATTCTATTAACCCAAGGATATTTAGTTTGGTCGAAATTGACCAAGAAGTTCTGGAGAAGAAGATGAAAATGTGGCAAGTTTTCAACTGCCACAACAACACTAATGACAGACAACCAACAGATCTTGCTCAGTAAAGCTCATCTTGGTTTTTATCCCAGGTGAGTTAAAACAAACTCATCACATTTCCTTACCCTGTCAAATGATCTGAGGTCGTACAGTTTGACACACTCTGAGTTTATTCCTGCTGCAAAAATGAGACCCTCTGGATCAAATGCTGCCACAGGTCTACCAGGTAGATGCATCAGTCCCTGAAATCATACAAGAATTGTGAAGAAAACATTGGAACTGCAATACTCAAGAACTATGCAGAGGCATGTACTATGAAAGACACAAATATATGAATATACAAATTTAGAAGATGTTTTGTTTCAGAACAGAAGAAGAAGACAGAAATAGATTTCTCTTAAACCCCAATAATTTGGATTTAACTTTTAAATGAACAGTAGGATAGCCTGGTAAAGTAAAACAAAGAAGAATGTCCCTGTATCTGTTACCTGACAATTCTGTGATCTCAGATCCCATAACCTGATGGTCTTATCCAGCGAACCAGACAGAAAGGAATCGTTGATAGGGGACATGTTCAGGGACACAACTCTAGAAATAAGCAATTTTGGTGTTAGATCTACCCACAAGTACATGTGTTAATGATGCATTACAAAAAGTAGATTATTAAAATGAGTTACAAGACAGACAGGTTCATGAAAATGACTCTAAATTAAAAACCAATCACCTCCTAAGGCATCAGGGAGGTAAAATCGATGAAACTTTAAATTACTATGAAAAAACACACTACTTATATCCATAGGATTTAACAACTCATCATTGCTCCACATGATGTAAGTACATGTAATTTACTGATATTGCACTGAAACTGGCTTTAGAATTTCTTCCTTTAATACTAAATATGGACTTACTTTTTGGTGTGTCCTGGGAAATACCTAATGTACTTGTTGTCATGGAGTGAGAGATATCTGATTGTATCTGAAATAAATTCCATGATCAAAATTAAATTGAGCAAATGTATTCTTCTGGAATACTTAGCTTAACATTCAAAATTGTCTTATTGTTTCTGCTCAAATCTTTAAAAACAAGTGACCTTTTTCAGGATTTCACATTAATAGGCTGCTGTAAATTTGGATTAATGATACACACTGCATTTATTTCAATGAATGAATTCATGAATGGGCTAGAAAGACAGACAAATCTGGTACAGGACTGATTACTTTACATGGTCCTTGGTCCTGTGGGCCAGTGGATTAAATTCTAAGCTGTGGACACTGGTGGCACAAATTTAAAACTGAACAGTACAGAGTAAGTTGCAGTCTTTTATATTAACATATCAATTATTATACCAGTAAAGATATACAATGTACTTTTTCTTACCATCTACTTTTGTAGAACCATGCAAGGCTGTGTTAACTGCATGTGTGTAACAAATTAAATCAACTCCATACTTCTTACTGTTTAGAGTTTTCTTTGGCCTGAAAGTAAAAATATAAATGAATTTACTTCATCCAAATTCTAGGTGTATCTTATAAAAGTTTGTTTGTTTAGATATTATTTGACACAGAGACTCTGAAGAGTTTCTCGAAAACCAACTCAACTTGGAGCAACTGATACCAAAATTGAAAAATTGTAGCCCTGTGATAATGGTAATAAACCGAAGTCAAATCCAGCAACTATTAGGTCCTACAGAATCTCTTGATTAAGCTATAAGACTTCATTAAGCTACTCAGAATAGCTACTTTATTACTCTTTTCTCAAACCTGTTATTATTTTCTGCATGTCGTACCTTGGTGCAGTGATAATATTCAACTTTGAATTCATCCGAATAAAATGCATGTAAAAATCACTCACCAAAATGTGTCTCCTTGAAAGACTATATACTCAAAGTTAAGTTTTTTGTCTATTGATGAGTGACAACACATTTACGTTTTAATAAATGAAATAATGAAGAAGGTCAGCTAACTTAATTACTGTCAATAAGATAATTTGATTGGTAATCTGTAAGAGTGCCGTTATTCAAACAATGGAAATTCACCTGTTGTTTGCAACTGAACGTATTCAAAAGCTGTAATGTTAGTACTAGATCTATTTAATAGATTTGGATTGCTTTTTGATAGCCCTTAGTACATATATATTGTCAAATACTGTAGATCACTAAATTTTCGCGACACCTTATTTTCGCCAGATAGTAACTGACTCTTGATTAGCGAGACGAAATTTTCGCGAATTGTGGTTATTGCTCTATATAATCTTCAGGAATACTTTTATACGCGAGAATTAAATTTTCGCGAGCTCACTGTCTCGCGTAATTACACGAAAATAAAGTTCTCGTGAATAAAAAGTGATTTACACTACTTGCAACTTTTTGTCGATTTCTTACAAATTGAATAAACAATTCTGTGAACAACTGCTTTTAAAAAGTTTATCAAGCTTTTTTGAATAGCTTAATAAGGCTTAACAAAAAAATATGTTTGTTTACGGTTACCCGACCGACCCTAATTTTCATCGCCGACCCAAACTTTTTTATCGTCGTAAAAATCCGGAAGTTACTGGCCGGTCAGTTTAACTTTTACATTCATCTTTGAAATCAAAATTGAAAGTACAAAAACAAAACCAGCGAGTTGCAATTTCTGCACCAACGAGTTCGTTGCAATTTGCTTACCATTGCGTGGCAGTTGTAGGGGTGTGCAACTAGCATCGCCTGATGCCCAGTGCTACCGTTTTTGGGGTAGTAAAAATAAAAATTATGCATATAATACATGAGAAATACAAACGGTTTTTTCACTCATTGTTTTGCTATTTGATTTCCAACTAATGAAAATTTTCCAGGTAACATGCACCAATTGTTCTTAAATTACTTTAACCTTATCCATTTTGAAGTACTACCTGACTTATTTACTTCAAAAACGCGTAATTTTATTCCGCTGTTAATAGTAAATACATGCAGCTATCTTTTTCCATTATTTACGGTCCCCCAATCAACTAATAAAAAGTGATATATACAGTACTTTTACATGCAGAAAAGAAAAGATAATATAACTTTTTAAAACTTCGATCAACAATGAACTTTTTACAAATTGAATAAACGTTTAAATTCTGTGAACAACTGCTTTTAAAAAGTCCACCCATATTTTATACAATGGTAAAACTGTTTTGTAATTTTCATGTGAATTTGAGCTACCGACCCTATTTTAATAAAACTGTATTTACATTGCACATGTTTTCTCCATAAAAAGTGAATTGAAATTTATTGCATTCAAAACACTGTAACACAGACAGGGTGCCAAGAGGTTAAAGCATGCATTTCAGTTTGATGTCACAATCGTTGATTGCCGAGGCAGTGCAACGTCATAAGCGAAAATAAAAAAAAATCACACTAACATTGCCCAGAAGCTGTTACGTTGGCTGATCCTATAACTGTTGCTTATACAAAGGATAATACATAGCTTTTTAAATATAAATCACATTTCCAGTCAAGGTAGCTAGAGAGTTAAAAGATCTAAACATAAGCAATGAATCATTATTTTTTTAAAGATAGTCTCCTAATTGCAACGGTGTGTGCAAACAAATTTTCATAATGCAAATTCCCAAATTTTTTTGCACACATCGTTGCAGTTTTGAGATTATATCTTTCAAAAATTAATGATTCATTGCTTAAATATTAAGCTATTTCAAAAGTATAACTTAATCAAGAGATTGTGCTGGACCTGATTAATCAGGCAATTTATACAATATACACCACGAACACGTATTTCCCTTGCTTAATAAAGCCTTAATTTTTCATAATAATTCATTAATAATGAATATATTTTGTACATATATCCTTACGTTCCATTTTGACAATCATAGATTACGATCGAATCGTCGTCACTGCTTGAGATGAGAGTGTTGCCATCTGACGAAAAATCTATTCTGTTTATACGGTCTGTGTTTTCTCTGAATATTTTTGCTACTCTGTAATTACGAACAACGTTGTCTGTAAGCTTCATTTTACCAATATTTAACACAACTATTTTTTCAAGAGACCATCTGAATTTTCTCCATTCGCCGCGCGTGCCTTTAATAGGTAACTCATACGTAAACACATTCGTTTTTCGTTCCTTTAGGTCGGAACCACGAAACGTCACATAGTGTGTTATGTGTTTTACTAGGGATATATAGAAGTACTCTAATTGAAATAAAAAGAAAACGTTGAAATCAATTAAAGTCATGTAATTTTTATTTTGGTCCCGGATCTCTAGATCTATAGGTTTTTGTCCTGTCTGTCTGTCTGTTTAGCTGTTGGACTTGGTCTGCTTGTCTGAAAACTTTAACCTTCGCCATAACTTTTGAACCATGAAAGAGACTTCATATTTGGTATGCATACTCCACAAATTAAGCTCTTTCAAATGAAACCAAGGTCAATGACCTTGTGACCTTTACTGTGACCTATATGCTAAATAGCTTTTTTCGAACTTTGTTGCCGTCGGACGCATGGTGTTTCACAAACACAACTTATTTATTTATTTATTTATTTATTCATTCATTCATTCATTCATTCATTCATTCATTCATTCATTCATTCAATTATTTATTTATTTATTTATTTATTTATTTATTTATTTATTTATTCATTTTTTTTTTCATATATTCATTTATTTATTTATTTGTATATTGTCTTTTTTATACCAGTTTTGAGCTCAAGCAACCTTGAATTTGTAAAAAGGGAACAAACGTTGTGAATTTCGTAGTCATTGTCTCCCCTTGACGGGGACTCAAAACATAAAAGTAGTGAAATCTTAAAAGAAAATGTTCTTTGCTCCTGATCAGAGCGGATATCTTGATCAAGCAGAAAGAAGTAAATACATAATAAAGCATTTCAAAACCCTTTACCAAAAATTGGAAAATCTATGACACCAGCTGGGTCAGAGGTTTATGAAAAATAGTAGAACTCTAATGATAAAAAGAAGCCCCGGAGAACATGCATAAATTCATTTAAAATGTGCATAGTTGAACTTAATGAGCAATGGTGCTTCCAAAGTTCCACATAATTTTATTGCCCTGTGTTCAGGGACCCGGAAATAAAATTGGAAGACTGTGACTCTGTTGAAAAAGTGACTTTGTGATATAGCATCATCTCTGCTCCTGGAAATTATCCCCAGGAGCTCCATATTCCATCTGTGAACTATTATTCGGCCTAAGTACAGTGTATATTACGAAAGACGAATAGGGCCACATAAAAAAATATTTTTATCTCGTAATTACGAGAAAAGATCTCGTTATTACGAGTTAATCATCTCATTATTACGAGAAAAGATCTCGTAATAACGAGTTAATTATCTCGTTATTACGAGAAAAGATCTCGTAATTACGAGAAAACATCTCGTTATTACGAGAAAAGATCTCGTTATTCCGAGTTAATTATCTCGAAATTACGAGTTAATTATCTCGTTATAACGAGAAAAGATCTCGTAATTACGAGATCTTTTCTCGTAAATACGAGATAAAAATATTTTTTATGTGGCCCTATTCGTCTTTAACTCGTAATAACGAGATCTTTTCTCGTACTTACGAGATAATTAACTCGTAATAACGAGATCTTTTCTCGTTATTACGAGATCTTTTCTCGTACTTACGAGATAATTAACTCGTAATAACGAGATCTTTTCTCGTTATTACTCGTAATTACGAGATAAAAATATTTTTTTTTATGTGGTCCTATTCGTCTTTAACTCGTAATAACGAGATCTTTTCTCGTAATTACGAGATCTTTTCTCGTTATAACGAGATAATTAACTCGTAATAACGAGATCTTTTCTCGTTATTACGAGATAATTAACTCGTAATTACGAGATAATTAACTCGTAATTACGAGATCTTTTCTCGTAATAACGAGATAATTATCTCGTAATAACGAGATCTTTTCTCGTAATTACGAGATCTTTTCTCGTAATAACGAGATAATTATCTCGTAATTACGAGATAAAAATATTTTTTATGTGGCCCTATTCGTCTTTCGTAGTATATATTACAGAATAGAATAGAATAGAATTTATTTCCAATCATGGTCCCACTGGGGGCATAACACAGATACAAGTATATTATTACATAAAATAGAGACAATGTACATAATGAAACATTAAATGTACTGCGCTGTTTCCTTTACCAGAGACTAGTGTTTGTAATGAAGGTTGAATCGAACAGTGATAAATCTCATATATCCTGCATAGATGTCGGAAGCAAATTGAAAGGGAGGGAGGGGGGCTAAACCAACAAAAAAGGTAAACCCCAATTTTCAATGCCTATATTATGCATATATTTACAAAAAAATGCCCCCCCCGGTTCCGACGCCTATATCCTGTAAACAAATTTATACGAACGTAAAAAAATTACAGACCATGCACTCTATAAGCACCAGAGAGTAAGATCAGGTGACTTGGAGGAGTAAGCATCCCCTTTCAACCTACCTGTCGCAAACCCTCTATAGCTAGGTAAACGTTAGGCGTATGCTTAATACAGAAATATTTCTAGAGAGAGAGAAAAAAAACGTGTATGCCAATATTCTAAACTTTTTATCGAAAATGCCGTGACGATTACTGAAGTGGCATGGAGAAAAACTCTATCTTGACGTGACGTTGTTGTGTAACGCTCCAACGTCATCGTCATGGTTGGTTGGAGTGAAAGGTAGTTAATTGACCGATGCTGGAAAGTGGAGAAATTCTCCCAAAAAGTGCGCAAAAAATATTGCGCCGTAAATTGCACCTTTTTTGCATTAAGGGATCTGTAGCGTTATGGTCAAAGACTAATATATAAAAACCATAACGCTACAGATCTGCAGCTAGCTACAAATCAGCAACTAAAAAGTTTTTTGCAGGGCTAATATTATTTTTTTGCATTCAAAATCCCCCAAATATTTTTGTCCAGGGGCAGCACTCCACCAGGACTCTTTCCTGGTCCTAATGGGGCCTTTTGTTACAATGTCGCACCCAGACCTCTTAACTGCCGCTATGGATTTGCCTCGTTAGAATTTGAATTCAACCTACCCCCTGACACTGCAGTAATATTTTTCACCAGTTATCTAAATGTAATGACAAAATAAATGATTTTTTTTTCTCTTGATAAAAGCAAAAGAAATACTGTCAGTGTGATGCGTATGTGTTTATTCTTGTTATCAGCATGTAAACATTCGCACTTAACACGGTTAGGCCCCTCGACTCGTGACTAGGCCAATACCATATTAATAAAATTCAAACGAATATATTTAATACATCCTGTTAAAGGACATATTTTATTATGTTACTACAGACAGGATTTTCCGTCCTACTTCTTGTTATTGTAGCATTTCAGGTTGCTCTTTGTGAAGTTGTGGTCACCACGAAGTATGGAAAAATTCGGGGCGTCGCCAGCAACAAAATTAAAGCGTTTCTGGGAGTTCCCTACGCGGCCCCACCAGTAGGCAAACTAAGGTACATTTAGCTTATTACTTTCTTAAGTATACTTAGTAACAATTCTAATATTCTGTGAACAATATCTAACTTAAAGCATTACCATATGAGTGGAAATTTTAGCGAGACGCAAATTTAGCGATTTGTCCCGAAAAACTGGTAATTTATTTTTAGCGAGATGTTATTTTAGCGATTTCAAAATGCATGTTAAAGACGTTATAGCAAATAAAATGCAATTGATTTTTAGCGATATTCAACTTTAGCGATCTCGGCACCCTCGCTAATAATGCCAAAATTAAATCCTCGCTAAAAATTCTTTTTATACGGTATGTTTTATTGGTATACCTGCACGTCTCTCACATTGCAAACAGGAAACACGAGATTTTTAACAATTTCGAATTACTTTTTTATTTATCCTATTTTGAGACATTGGGATTAAGTAAATATGCTACCTGTAAATGCAGTATTAAAATTAATTAAATACCCCCGGTATATTTTCCAACAGTTTGGTATTACGTTGAAAAAAAAAAACAAGACGTGTTTGCGAAATACTGATGCCTCGGTAATGGCAGTTTATGGTGAAGGTTGAAGTTTCTCAAATTAAAATCAAACTCCATGCAATGCCAAGGTTAAGATATAAAATTCTTGTTACCCACAGAAAAGAGACTTGGTCTCATGAAATATTTTTGAAATACCTATGAAAGCCAAAGCACTAGCACCTTTCAAACGTAAAAAGCAAGGCCAAAGGATCAAAATTAGTGTTACCCAGGGGAAACCTAATTGAAAGAAATACACATGTAAATGAAAAAGCCCTAGCACCAAATGTTCAAAAGTTACGGAAAGAGTTATAGTTTTTTTTTCGAAATTAGGTTAATCTCCAAAGTCAATATCAAAAAGTTAAAATCGTTTGAAATCGCAGGAAGGTCTTGGCACAAGAAATAAACAGTCACGCGAAAGGAAAAGACATACTAGTATAGTGCTAATTGTTCAAGAGTTGTGAACACGGCTTAAGTTTTTTAAAAAGTAGCCAAACCCTTTAGTAGAGGATAAAAGAGTCAAAAACATTTTCTTCTTTTTTACAATGGACAGATCTTGTCACAAAAATATATACTGGTATGTGAAGAATGAAAATCCTAGCATCAACTGTTCGAAAGTTACACCGGTGTCTTGTATAATATTAATAATTAAAAGTTAAAGATTCGTAATTTTTCTGCAAAAGTGGGTCAGATTCCAAGGTAAAGAGGACAAATTAAAAATATCTGTACCCAAAAGGAAGGTCTTGGCACAAAGAATACACAGTCACGTACAAGCGAAATCTGAAAGCCATGATGATAGTTCGTCCCAATCAGAATTTATGGGCATGGTTAAAACTTTTGCGGACAGACAAACAAACAGCTTGACAGAGCAAAACTATATACTAGTACCCCCAAATCTTCAATTCTTTACGTTAGTCATTATTTGAAAAAAAAAACCAAGATGTGTAAACTTGTAAAAAACTGATGCCCCCGTATGGCAATATAGCGAAGATTAAACCTTTCTTAAATGCATTTTTAATATATGGGTACACAAAGTATAGTATTCTCACTGGAAAAAACAATTGTGAAATATTAAAGTAGGCTAAGGTTAAAGTTTTTTCATAGGTACAATAATATCCAAGGTCAAGGTCAAAAGGTCAAGGTAATTGGTATCCAATGAAAGGTCTTGCTACAAAGAATACAGATGTGAGGTATGGAAGTCTTGGCCCTAAACTTTTTAAAGTCATGATCAAGGTTAAAAATTTTTAAAAGTAGGTGAAACTCCAAGGTCAAGGTCAAAGGGTCAGAGTTCTTGATATCAAATAAAAGGTCTTGTCACAAGGATTTAATATGTGAAGTATGAAAGCACTAGACCTTACCGTTCAAAAGTTATGACCAAGGTTTTAGTTTTTTCATTAGTACGGAAATCTTCAAGGTCAAGGTCAAAAGGTCAAAGTTGTTGGTATCCAATGAAAGATCTTGCCACAAAAATTACACGTATGAAGTATAAAAGTCTTGGTATCTACTGTTCCAAAAATATGGCCAAAGTAAAAGTTTAAAATTTTTGTGTAAAAGTGGGCCAAACTCCAAGGTCAGGGTCGAAATGTCATATTTGGTGGAACCCAAAGAAATGTATTGTAACAACAAATACACAGGCGAAATATGAAAGTCATAGCTTTTCTAAATCAAAAGTTATGGGCAAGGTTAAAGTTTTTGCGGACAAACAGACAAACAGCTAGACAGACAAACGTCAAACTTCGTTTACGGGGGCTTACAAAACATCAAAATAAATTGTCTAAATGCATGTACATGTGTATTGACTCTTGGTTGTGTAAACATGTAAATCAAAATATACTGTCTAAATGTATGTACATGTGTATTGACTCTTGGTTATGTAAACATATAGAATCAACAAGATTCAAGATGACTCGATCTCATCCTCAAGGGACTTTTCACATATAATTGCTGAAGCGTAATATTGATTGTGTTAATTGGACGTCATAATGATATAACTTAGTCTTGATCTGCATGATTATGTATCAGTTTTGTAATCATAGTAATACACATGTACAAATTGAATGCATTAGATATATATAATCTTTGCAATCATGCAACTTTTACAGATGGAAGAACCCAGTTTCTGTTTCGAAGTGGTCGCCCAAAGTTTACGATGCCACGAAGGTGAAACCAGGATGTCCCCAGAAAGGCTGTGAGACGATGAATCCGGTCCTTGTCTGTCCTGTACAGGTGACAAAAGCTTATTTACATACGAATTACCGTGCAAAGATACGTTACAGATTCTATATGACCAATCGACACTTAATACTTGAACCGAGTTCTACAAACAAGTCCGTTTTAATTTTTCAATATAGTAAATTGAAAATTAGTTTACAAGCCTGGTTTGAAATAAAAATACATGTACATGTATGTACAGTTCACCGATGTAAGAACTTTTAATGTTTTCGCTATTCAAAAATACATGTTGTTTCTCTTTTTTCTACAAGACAGCAGAGGACTGTCTCTATCTTTACATATGGACGCCATTAAGTGCTAATGCAACTACGTCATTTCCTGTCATGGTGTACATCCATGGTGGAAACTTTGTTCACATGAGTGCAGATTCGTTGCTATTTAATGCCGAGGAACTTGCATACAGAGGGCAAGTTATTGTGGTAACCATGGATTACAGACTAGGTTCGTATATTCCAGTCAAAGGGTATCTCAATAAATTATGAATAGAAAACATGGGCAAAATTTATATTTCCAGTTTTATTGAGTTACTTTTTCCTTATCTGATAAAATAAAGGTCAATGAAAACCCCATCTTTAGCTTGAATTTTTAAAATAATGTTTTTGAAATCATTTACATAATTTTGATGCTGTGAATTACAGCTATATATCTTGAAGACATACTTGTAATATACACTGATAAAGATACATCTGTTCCAACAAGGTAATTAATATACAGTTAAAGTATTTCATCGAGGGAGTTAGCGAGATTCCAGTTCCCCTCGAGCAGGACTTTCCCTCGGCGCAGTTCCCCAAGACCAGGACTGATTCCCGAGGCGCAATGCGTCCTGGTCGAGGGGAACTGGAATCTTGCTAACTCTCTCAACGATATACTTTTATAACTGTTTTATTATACCGATACAAATACAGGATTACGAATGGCGGGGAATTAGCTTCAAGACTAACGCACAAAGAATTAGTCCATTAACATAATAATAATAATTAGACCGATCCAAAAGTAAAATCTAGAGGTTTACGGATAACCGTGGATTAGCTCATTTAACTAATGCACGGAAATTAGTCCATTCACTGAGATTTCTATGGAATTATTCACGCCTTATTTTTAGGAAAAAAATCAGTAGAGGTATATTAAAACAGTAGAAAAGTATATTATTGAAGGAGTTAGCAAGACTTCAGTTCCCCTCGACCAGGACTATTTCCCTCGGTGCGCTGTGTCTCGGGAAATAGTCCTGATCGAGGGGAACTGGAATGCTAATAACTCCCCCAATGATATACTTTAACTGTATAATATTGTCGATTTTAACCAGGAAACCGCAGAGAAATAAGTTCCAAAACTACAAAAAGATCAATGGGTAGACAATCAGCTTATTTCTTCAAAACGACAACAAAGTGAATACATTTTAAAACCTTGATTTCGTTAACTCACCTTTATGGCACGCCAAATTCACAAAAATGAGCTAAACATGGTTTCAAAGTTGATAAACTAGGTTTATGGGCTGTAAACTATAGTTTACAAACCGTGAACTATAGTTAACAATTTGTTAACTATCATTTTCATCTGTAAAACTATATTTAACGGTTGTTAACTGTAATAGTTTACTAATGCTAATCTTAAGTTTATCTATCTCTAATAAAGCGTTAACAATAGATTTTAATGATAAACATATATTCACGTCTGTAAACTACAATTTACAATCGTGAACTGTAGTCAAGAGTTGTTTATCATAGTTTCACAAATCATGAAACTATATTCATCAGATCGTTAATTATAGTTAAGAGTTGTAAACCATAGTTTGCAAATCGCGGATCGTGAAACTGTATTTATCAGATAATGCAATCACAAATGATTGTTTTCAGTGTTAAGTATAGTTTATGGTTCTGAAACATACATGTAGATCATCGCGTTAACTATGGTTTACAGATGTAAAATATAGATTAACGTTGTTAACTATAGTTTACAGTCCGTAAATTATAGTTTACAACCACTTTGAAACTATATTTAGCTAATTTGTGAATCTGGCGTGCCATACACCTTCATAAAATGTTTGCAGTGACTGTTTGAGGAACTTCAAAAAATGTTCTAAAATGCTAAATAAAATTTTTCATTGAATAACACAAAAATCATGCAATAGTGTGGTTTTACCTTAAATTGTTGATTGCAGATGAATATTTAAGGAAACTAGAGTTTAAGAGCATATCAGTTAATACATCTTGATGTCAGAAAGTTACGTTTCTAAGAGAGAGAGAGAGACAGACAGAGAGAGACAGAAATTGAGAAAGAGAGAGCGTTTTTATTTCAGATTTGTGGGATTTGATGTTTCAGGGGCTTTGGGATTCCTTCTAACACAGGACAGACGAGCCAGTAGTAATTACGCTATCCTGGATCAGAGACAGGCCATGAAGTGGGTCAAGGACAACATACGGGCATTTGGTGGAAATCCTAACATGGTAAGGCAATTCATTCAAGAGTGCTTCATAAAAATATCCGATAACATATCATCACATAAAAAAACTGACAATTATAAAAAGTAATCTAATTCTATAGGTGACCTTGTTCGGGCAGAGTGCGGGAGCACAGTCCACTGTCGCCCACTTATTGACCAAGGAGAGTAGTCAATACTTCCAAAGGGCCATTGTTGAGAGTGCTCCGTTGAGTATTCCATTCAAGACAGAGGAGGAGATGATTTTCATCAGTAATATGTTATTTGATCAATTAAAGTGCTCCCCGAAAGACCTGGATTGCCTGAACAAATACAGTGCTGATGAGATTGCGGAAGCTCAATTACAAATACGTAAATATCCATCCTCATTAAAACTTCTGGAATTTTTTGAGCCATGGGTCCCGTATGTTGACGGTGTAATAATACCATCGCAGCCTTTGGAAGCATTTCGAAAGGGACTTGTCATAAATAAACCATTAATGATGGGGACAGTAAGTGAGGAAACTCGGATATTTATTTATGAGGCGTACAATAAATCTTTGCCAGCCCTGGAATATAGCCTTGCACTTTCTCTGACGTTCCCTAAGAAAGCTTTGGATGTATTACAGATGTATCCTCCTACTGTCGAACCAGATCAGAGGGATGGGCTACAAATTCCGGCCACCGATTTCATCTTCACTTGTTGTACCAGAAACTTCACACGAAACGTCTTGAAACAAAATGGCGGCCTCGTCTGGACGTACGTGTATGATCATGCGTTCTCCTTCCCTGGATGGGGTAAATTTACTTTCTGTGAAGGACATGTTTGCCACGGCTCAGAAATTCCATTTGTTTTTCAGTCCAGTAAACTTGGGAATTTCACAATAACACCAGACGAAGTAAAGCTGTCAAATTCATTGATAGCGTACTGGTCAAACTTTGCCAAAACAGGAAACCCTAACCGGGGAGCGCCGGTGACTCTACAATGGCCGATTTATGAACCCAGCTCACTGTGGCCTCAGATGTATTTTGCCACACCATCGAATTCTGTGAAAAGCTCTTACCGCAAAGAATTTTGCGACTTCTGGGATTCTTTAGGCTATAATCCTTTAGGATAATATAGTATAAAAGTTCTTTGATTCCTTGAAAAGGCGGATGGGACTTCAACACCATAGTTTTACACGTGCTTGTACACATATATCATTTATTTAAGCACCACTGAACCACATCATTTACATTTATAAATAAAATACTTTTAAAAACCATTTTGATTTCCATTTTATTTGTAAACTACGAATGCTATTCTGATCTCTTTCCTAAAAAAAATGTAAGGAAAAAAAATTTAAAAGAGAAGGAAGGAAATCCTATATTTTCTTGCGTTGCAAAATATGAATTGCAAGATTGATTGATGGATTTATTGTATATTGTTTTAACGTCCCTTTCCAGATTTTTCACTCAAATGGAGACACCACCACTTGCCGGTGGAGAGCTGCAAATTTTCTCCTATACTCGGCATTCAGGGCCATTGAGCAGGGAGGGATCTTTTTCGTGCCAGCACCTACTGCGACACGGGACCTCAGTTTATACGGTCTCATCCGAAGGACCGGTCTCCACGTCCCACAGTGGAATTCGAACCCGCGACGTAAGAATTGACTCGATCCTTACTTCGCGACTCTAGAGCAGAGTAACGCTCTTACCATTAATATTTCGCCACGCGGGCGACTGAATTGCATGATGTAGAGGACCGAACTAACCTGAACTGAAAATGTATCTGTTCGCCACTTAAACATAGTTAAAACATTGGATAATGGAGATTGACGAATCAAGACGACACCAACATCGTGCGTAACGTCATTTCTTGTTGTAGGTACCACATAAAAAATAATGCCGAGTAAATAATCTTAAAAATAAAATGCTGGTGAATGCCTTGCACGTGTACATGTAGTTTACACCTTGTGATTTACAAGGTAAAGGGTTCTAATTTTCTACTAAGAAAAAAAATGTAATTCTAAGTACCTCTGTATTGCAGGTATAAGCATAGTTTTTTATCTTAAAAGTACTCATTTTTATACCGTAATTTTGATTAACTCATGATTAAGAAAGATATAATTTCATTTTACATGTAGCTGGATGATTTGAAAACATGAACATGCAACAAATGCAAAGCAATACATATAATTGTCAATAACGAAAATGAACATTTCTGGGAGTAGTATTATCAATCCCTGAGTATTTGAAATAAATGTGACAAGGTGTCATTGATTTCAACCGCAAACATTAATATTGTACAGTGAAGACAAACTTAGAAGAATTTCCACTTACTTATACTTATTGATTCGTATACATCTGCCATATTGCCGCGGAGAGTGAGTAGAATAATGGAATGAGCTAACATCAGAGAGAAAGAGAGGGAAAGCACTTATTATGACCAATTAGGAGCATCAATAAAAATATATTAAGACTGTGTACGGTAGGGAGGAAACGTTCAGTGATGTTGGTTATTGCGATGGAGATAGCATGAACAACCTTTATGTCCAATTGAAGTGGAGAACGTATGTGGTAAATGATATTACACTTATATATACGCTGTTAAATTGGCGAGAATTTATTTTTGGATAAGTGATATTCAAGGCTTTTTTATAACACTATATGTTCCTGATGTCACCTTTCTGTGTTTATGTTTTGTACTTCCGTTAGTAAGGGATAACAGTTGTGCATTACTCTATTTCCGTCGTGCATTTTCTTTATTTCCTGTGAATTACTTTAACTGAGGACAACTTAACGTTATTATTTTCAATCACCGTTCTAGCAAATGGCAAGCGGATATTGCTACACATCAGACTTAACCAATTTAACAAAGCACCTCTCCGAGAAGCATTCCGTGGCACCTTCCGCTATAATGTTCAGCGTTGGTGTCGGTGGAAACGTTTTAGCGATATCCTTGTTGATAAAACATTCGAACACTCACCGTTGGAATGTGTTCTATCGTCTCGTGGCAGGACTTATTGTCACCGATCTTTTCGGAGTTTTGTCGAGCTCACCTCTTGCCTTTGTGGTTTACAGTAACAAGTTCCGGTGGGTTGGTGGACAACCTGCTTGTGACTATATGTCATTTGTTTTAATCTTTTTCAGTGTATCTCCCATGCTCATCGCGACAGCTATGTCCCTAGACAGATTTTTGGCAGTGTGGTTTCCATTTATGTATAAAACTATGGAAAAGAAGAGACGTGTTCATGTTATTCTTGCCTTTCTTTGGATATTTGCTTTCCTCATTTCAAGCCTTCCCCTCGTTGGTCTTGGGCACAACATTCGTCATTTTCCATGTACCTGGTGCTTTTTTGATTATTTCGGTACAACATCGACAGATATTGCATTCTCGATTATTTTTGCATCTCTCGGACTTTTAGTCATTGTGACATCTAGTTTGATCAACATTTTAGTTCTGATTAAAATAGTTAAAGAGGCTAATGGTGTGAATAGAGGTATAAGCATCAGGAGCAGGAAAGGTCAAAAGAGAGCCAGGAGGAATGAGATTTTCATAATGACTTTCATCATCGCTATTTTACTGGCATTCGTCGTATGCTGGATGCCATTAATGGTAATAACTATCATAACTAACAAAGTACAGTGTATATTCAAATTTAAATTCGAAAACTATGCACACAAAAATGCAAATTTTATGCTCAATGCTCAGATGTTTTATTTAATTTTATTAACGCACACGTTGTTCCATTAATTACATTGATATACATGTGTTCGAAACAAAATTTGAAATACATATATTCTGTTGTTGATGATTACTAGATACATCTTTAATTGTATAAAAAGTTTTCCAGAAAGACGTTGTACATCTAGCATGTTCATTTACATTTAAACAGTCTATCGATTTCACATTAAAGTTATTGTTATTTAAAATATATTTAAAATATTATTATTAATCCTATTTGAATTTCAGATAAGAATCCTGGCAAATGTGTCAAAGAAACAGGTTCCCGATTATACATCCGACCTTCTAGCAATTCGATTCGCCTCCTGGAACCAAATTCTTGATCCCTGGATCTATATTTTACTGCGGAAGGAGATGCTGACGAGGTTGTACAAGGTGTACAGGAGACTGTTTACCGACACGGACGTGTCAGAATTTTCTCTAAATGTAGATAAGGCGTACGTTAATGACAACGCCGACATTTCTGAAGTCTGTCAAAGGACGAACAATCTGAATAATTCAATAACAAAAGAAGAGTATTTAGACACCGGTGTCCGGCAACGTCCGTTAGAACAGGAAATGAATTTGTTACTGTGCAATTCAAACAGGCAACCCTATAACGGTGATAAAACAGGAAATATTCTTGAGCATCGTTGACTCCATTCATTAAACATGTTAAAATATACATTTTTGTGATATTTAAATCAAACGTTCCTCTAAATTGTCATACAATATCAAACAACATCATTATGAAATTGTAATATTATATACATGTAAGCATAAAATATGAGCTGGATTAAAAGAACTTTAACGTACTTAAAAACATACTTTACGAATTTAAGATGAAGTGCGCAGACTGCGTGTATTGCATGTACTTATGAAGGTATCATCTTGCCCTTGCCGCCATTGATTCTTTAATAAATCACGATTACATTCTTTTTTTCTGTCTCAGAGCTTCTCTATACACTGAACCAAACTTCTAAGTGTTCACCTAACATTTTTTAAGTTATAAGGAACAAATGATTACAATAAATTATTTCTTGAATTCATGGTTAATGATGCATCTTTTAGTTCGGTGTTGCGAAAATTTCATGTAAGTATCCCGCTAGACTTTAAAGCAAAGTTTCAAGGGCATGATGTACCTTCATAATGAAAATTCACATAAAACAATTGCTTTAGAATAAGATCTTCACTCGCTCTTACTATTACAAAGCATCCTTTTCTCATGAATACCATGTACCCTTTAAATTAGAGGCTGGCCTATCTGCTGCGACACATACTGCATGGATCTTTCTATACCGTTGAAAATGTGTGGAAAGGGGGTTTACAGTCCTTTTAAAAAGTCCAAAATGCTCTGTGGGATTCAGATCTGGAATTTGGCAGGCCATTTTATTAATCATATGGTTTTTGGTCAACATTAAGACCCTCCTTGGGCGTCTCACACGTAATTGTGTACCTTTCTATGATGAAATGTACCTTTCTATGGATGATACAGACTGTTTGAGATGATATTAGACTGCTTTGAGCACCGATTTGGTGCAATTTTTATACCACTGAAGGTGCTGATTGAAAAATTTTAAAGTGTTTTAAGACTATGTATAACAATCTTTTAAACTGGATTTGACGCGAAACATTGGTCTCAGACGAAGTTATAGATCACTTCCGGTTTGGTAAAATTTTGTCCAAGGCTATCAAATTTTGATACATGTAATTTGACGCAAAGCATATAGAAAAATGTGTATAAATGGATTTTTATACATGTACTTGTTTATTTTTAAGTAATATCAAGGACAAATACGTAAACACTAAAATAAAAGTGAATAAAACGTGTCGTAAGGATGATTCAGATATCGACATTCCAATGACTCTCCCTCCTCCCTCAGTGGTTATTTTGCCAATATTTTGTGTTTTATAGATATACCATGGCCAGTTGTCAAAAATTGATAATGGTCACAAAAAGGAGCTGATTAAAAAAAATAACACGCGCCGCAAAGTTCAGATTTATTGTTTTTAAGTTTCATGACGGGACATTGGTTTTCATCGGTGATAATTTATTTTCTTTCGACAATTGCTGAAAAGACTCATTGGTTATAATAATTTGAAAATATCATACCACTCTATTGTGTAGTTTTAAATAAATTCATTTATTAGAGTGAACACTTAGAAGTTTTGTTAAGTGTATTTTCGATTGGGACCTGAAACAACTTGCAATCAGTCAGTAAGATTTGGAATAAAAAAGTCTCTAAATGAAGCTTGAAAATTAAATATTTCATGCAACAATTTTCATTACATGCCTCTCAATGTGCTTCAAGGTTCTCTGTAAAGCTCCATAAATTACTTTTCATATCATGTTAATAAACACTGGTATCTAAAAATGCTTTTTCGGGATAAAAATTTCTACTTTTAATTAGACCTTTCTGAGAAGTTTAAAGAACCTTGAAGCACATTGAGAGGCATATAATGAAAATTGTTGCATGAAAAGATTTTATTTTCAAGCTTCATTTAAAGACTTTTTTAATTAAATTATAAATTAAAGAGTTGTCCTTCCTGGCTGAGGGTCGGAGTCCCTTATGTTCGTGAAAACACGAATCATTTGAATTTTACTATGTTCTTCAAAATACGTCATTAATCTTATGAAATACGTGGAGATAACGAATAGTATTCTAGCTCAAAATCCATTTAATATATTTCTAAATAGGAGCAGAGCAAACTAGGACCTCAGCGGTGGGATCAGGTGCCATGGATGAGTGAGCATTCCCTGCCAATTGGTCACGCCCGCTGTGTTCTCTTGTCAGGGTCGGGAAATAACGGGGGAAAACGTGGAAAACTCAGTGTATAAATAATGGCCTAACAATCGGTACTATTATGTTATTGACATGGTCTTGAGGTAAAATAAATTTTTAATATACTAGCTACTCCCTCTGTAGATATAGGCGAACATTAAAATGCATTATTTTGTACATAAAAAAATAAGAAATTTTAAAATGATGAAGATACCATATTCTTTAATGAAACTTTAAAGCTAAATAAATTCAAATTCATTAAATCATTCACTATAATTATATTTATCTGGTATATCTGCATCCGCAATTATACGTTAATGGTACAAGAAAACTGCGATTTATCGTGATGGAAAGTTGTTAATAAAACTGGCCTTACAAATTATTTAGTAGATGGAAGAGGAGATTTGAAATAACAGATATTTATGGCTGACTTTCTCTCAGGGGTATTCATATAGTATTACATTGCTTGACCATTAATAATGGACAACAAAGACACGTCATCATTCTGCGAAACAAATCATTATAATGGCCAGTCTTCATGATACAGTGAAACCTGTCTAATCCGGCATACATTGGGTGACAAATGTCAGAATAGACAGAGGGTCGGATTAAACAGTGTAAAAAATGAAAAATAGTAAAATGGGAAATTTCATGCCGGAATTCACTGTGTGACGGATTGCACAAATGTCAAATTAGACAGCTTTCACTGTATCTTGCTTTACTACTGAAATAGAGGAAGATGCACCAGAAACTATTTTTTTTAATTTTTTTTAATGAATTTAATGGACCCGTACACATGAAGCATCGGAACTTCAGACAGACACTAAACAGGGCGATATTTGTGAGGCGATATCTTTTAAATAAGTGAAGAAATTTCATGACAGGACCGTTTTAAAAATGTTAAGTACATAATCAATTATTAATAAAAAATACGAAAAAAATTCATTAACTGGACTTTTTTTCAACTCAAGGCCCTGTTCCTTCTTAAATGAATTTTTTGGAAGCATATTTTGGCCCCGGGATCATGAAACATCTTCAGCTTAAGTCAAAATATTCATGTTTTACTAAAAATGTTGTTGAAAGCAAGCAGGTTAAAACTAAAATATTTTTCAAAGTTGCTTTAAAAAATTACAACAGAGCTGCTATCTGAAAAAAGAGATTTATTAAGTAATCAAAAAATAATTTAAAGGTATTTGAAAGTTCGGCTCAAGTCGAAGTCTGTTTCATGATCCTGGGGCCTAATTTTCAGAACCCAAGGGCTGGACTAGACTAAATAAAAGTATAGAATTTACATTTATTTATAAATAAAAATCGAATTTCTTGTTGAAATAATGCATCGTACTCTTTTGGCCTGAGTATTCAGTAGGATCTGATTAAACCCCTGAAATTTCATCAGTCATATTATTTGTGATATATTTTTTTTTTAATAAACAGTATTGGCATGGCCTCAAAATGAACTTTTTGAAATTTTTTTTTTCTAATTTTCCTTTTCATAGAACTTGTAACAAGTTTAGAAAAGAGTATTGATTACAGATAGTGAAAATGTATATATATTTTCTTTGAAAATATTTTCCTTTGCTTCTGGGTATTATGCCAATGATCTAAGTACATATTTATGGTTTTCCAAAATGGTTAATTCTTAATATCATTGACTAATAATAATGAAAAATGTTGAAAACATAACAAAAAACTTTGAATTTTAGTTTTTTGCACCGGAAAAACTTTTCAAATATTTCTTGTCTCTTTTTTTCTTTGTGTGTCTGCCAAGGGCAATTATTATAAAAATTAAAAAGGTTTTGCAATTTATATGTAGAATGTGAATCTTTATGTTTATTTCAGCACATGGTTGGAATACAAGAAAACAAGCTATCAACAGAGACGTTCTGAATCGATTTTTGTTTTTGGTTCAATTCACATAAATCTTAAAGCAATGTAGACCGTGGCAACCAGGGCCAATAAAATCTACAATTCAACAAGAATCAATAGCACTTAAATACTGGACAAATCAGAGATAGTTATCATCAATATCCCACCGAGAATGCATTCTTAGAATATTTTGCAATTGAATGTAAACAATGTTTCAACAAAGCGTCAACAATGTCTTTTAAAGACTTTGGAATTTTATCATTACACCATAACGTCTTTTTGCTGCCTTGTTACTTTGACAAATAACGTCCCCACTACTATATTGAAGTATAAGTTTATATATTTTTTAACAGTACATAAACAAGTAAATTACATCAATCATTACCTTAATCTAAATCTTGATGACGAATGTGAAAGTGTATAATTATTCGTTTCTACATTTACTCGGAGACAATATTCTTATAATATTCTCTTGCAGCAATTCATTTTAAGTTATAACACAATGGATTCTCTGGTCTAATTTACTTATTTTACATTAGGCTTAGATTAAGTCTAATGATTATGAGACCCTACAAAATTAAGAAAGAAAACGAACTTAACAATTCCTCTTATGTAAGAAACGGTACAAATTGAAACCTCTCTTTTAATATATGATAAATAGTAATTATGTAACAAAAGTTGCTCCGCCTCATTGGGATAGCATGTGACGAAAATTGTAATTATATAATATTCCTGGAGAGTTTGTCCCCTTGAGACCAAGAGAAGCGGGAATTCATTATTAATTTGTTTTCATTAAAATGTTGAAATTAATCACGTCAGATTGGACTCTGTTTATCAGTCAATGATTTAGCAGAGAAGAAGTGGGATGGATCTCTCAGCAGTAAGAATTTGTATATTATACTTTTTTCGCCTCCTTTTCCCTAATTTTTTCTTTAAATTATTTCTATTTTTCTGTTTTAATTCCGCTTCATAAAATTAATATGTACAGTTTGATACGTCTTTTAAAAACACGAGAAAAATATTATATATTATAAATACATGTACGTTTTTTTATGCCAAGACTCTCATATCATCTTAAAATATAGGGAAAAACTGTTTTCAGTTTATCACTTCTTTCAATTCACATACTCGTGCATAGGTTTATGTTCCTTTTGCACTCATATAAGCAAAATAATGTCTTATAAAAGTATGTAACTATTGTTTTTGTTCTCTTTTTTTATACAGGTGATGTCGATTCTGAGAGAATTCTTTTTCATTCTTTTAATATGCGATCATTTAACTGCTACAAATAGAAGTGATAAAAAAGATGATGAAAAGAATATTCCTTTGAATACACCATTCAATTTCAGTCATATTATTGTACAGACTGCGCTATACTGTGGTCCAAGTTTTGTCTGCGATAAAACACTGCTTTCTGCTCTTGGCATTCCTGACGACAACGGAGCAAGTTTTAGTGTATGTGGGACATGTTCATGTGAAGAGATTTGTCTTACAAATCCAGAGCCTTGTTGCCCGGATGTATATTTCAAGCACGGCTACATGGAATGCGCGGATCTAAGTGTTACTTCTAATAATAATAATAATAATTTTTATTCTGTCATCTCTACTTGTCCGAGAGACACGGACTTGAACTTAACTAAAAAATGCACAGGGGATCACCACAAACTCCATCTTTTGAAAAATCCGCCAGTCAGCAGTGCTGTTACCAGAAGGACATACAAAAACCAATATTGTGCAGCCTGCAATAATGTATCTCATTGGTTTCCGTGGACGTTAATGTTTGACTGCCGTCAACCAACAGATTTTAACTACTTGTCATCTTACGAGGAAATCTTGGAGTTGGTGGATATCAAACAATGTGGACTTCATTTTTCGTCATCAAACCCGTTTTATGAAATATGCAATGATCAAAAAGCAGAAACAATAGCCTCCTGTAATGTTTCAGGAACTTGGCGTCTATACGACAGATCTATAGAAGATGCCTGCTTGAGTAGCTATAATAGGAAGTATAATGATATTTTTAAGAACGTCTTTTGCGCAATGTGTAACCCCCCGAACTTAAATTTGAACAGAACCATAAACCAATGTAGAGATCGAAACAACAGACATAATGATAATTGTGCAAAATTACCAACGGTTGAGGCAAGTTTCCCGTATAAGAATCACTATTGCCATTTATGCAACCAAGGTCATACTTTTAATCCCCTTGAAGATGTATACTTGAATTATGCAGTGGAACTATATCAGGAGAAAAATTATTATCCCTTCACCACAGCAATAAAATTCTCTTTTCAGGGAGATATCCTACGAAAACACATTGATGAATTGATGCAATATTCCAACAGTTCCAAACAACGACAAAATTCTGCTGTTATGCAGTACATTAATGCTACCAATCTTGTACGATACAGTTTTGCTCTCTCTGGTTCGGGGGTATGTACACCTACCTTGCTTCCTAACTACACGAGGTCTCTTCAGAAAAATTGTTCCTGTACAGTAGGCTGTCTGTATGATTGTTGTGACGATTTTGCTTTACAGCAACCTTGGAAATGTGTCAGTGAAAGATATTTTAAGACAGAAAGCATCTCGCCGACTGACTACTTAGCACTGGGTGGGTGTTTGGAAAATCATCAAGGAATAAACCAGTTGTGTACTGATCCAAAATTCACTGATTTTTATCAAATGTTTCCTGTCACTGCACACTCTCATTACACAGAAACATATGCCAATGTTTTCTGCTTCTTATGTAATAAAAAGAATATTGATGACCAAATCTTAAACAGCCTTGCTTATGACCTGGATGTCTGGGAACTGATCATTGAATGTAAAACTTACGTAAATTACAAATTCTTCAACTCCATGCAAGCCTACATTAACTTTGTTGAAGAAAATAATTGTCTTTTAAAATTCAAAAAACGTAGAAATGGATTAAACTGCAGGGACATGTATACTTCGGATAGAAAGGGTGTTGGGAGGTGTAATGTCGACGGATCACAGACTTCACTTGACTATGACATTCTATTTGCATGTGAAAGGTCAGAAGATTATAGATTTCCAAGAGTCATTTCTGAGGGAATTTTGTATAGAAACAAGTTCTGTTTAATTTGCAACTCAAGAAAAGTTCCGTCCACAGATATTATTGATACGTGTTCATCAAACAGCACAACTAGTTCAAGCCTAATACAGAAAGCATGTCATGAGTTTCCAAGCATTCATGTCTGTACCAATTTTCGAAACGTATTTTGCGAGATGTGCAATGAAGTTTACAGGTGGTGTTTTTTCCTTTATGATGACAAGCAAGAGCCTGCGACAGGTCCGCCAATTATTCCAACCGTTGGACCAACGCCACTAGGGTTCAGATCGGTCTTTTCTCTTTTGGACTATGATAATGTGGCCGTGAAATCAAAAACGACGTCCTGTTCTTCCAATCAAATCTACGATGATTTTCAGGTAAGATGAAAGTGGTAAATATACAATGAATTAGTGGTTTAAAATAATTTTACGATGATTTTTGTTACTGAAGCCGCGAATGATTTTACGATTTATTTTAATTCATGTAAACTAGATATAAACAGTAGCAGTGCCGATGACATACACATTTAAAAGAGATATCAGTCTATGTAGGCGTTTGTATAATTAAGTTATGTTTTTGGACGCATCCGATCAAAGTCATGAATGAAAAACACGAGCATTTTTAATATTTGTTGTTTCACTAATATTATAAAGTTAAAAATTGGTATACATAAACATTTGTTACATAATTAACAAAAATTTTAATAAAATATATTTATCAATTAATGATAACATATTAATCTTTGATCAACGAATCATTCAGAATAGTAGTCGGCGCAACACCGACAACGTCAAAACGTCACTCGTGGAGTTTTTGAATTTGTTCCACTCTTAAAAATGTTTTACTTAGTAGTCATTTTTTACTTGAAATAACAAAGATAAGTAATAGATAATTACTAAGCATTTACTTAAAATTTTAAATCAATTACTGAAATATATGTCAATTACTAGATTCAAATGTTTTACTTGATTTTTGTATTTTAAAGAATTGTTTTACTTACACACTAAAAAGTTTTACTTAGTAATTTATATTTACTTAAATTTGTGTATATAAGTAATAACATTACTTGGTCTTTACTTACATTTTACCACTATTTACTATATAATTAATATTTTAATGCCCCCGTAAACGAAGTTTCGGGCGTATATAGTTTTTGTCGTGTCCGTCTGTCTGTCTAGCTGTCTGTCTAGCTGTCTAGCTGTCTCTCTGTTTGTCTGTTTATCCACAGAAACTTTAACCTTGCCCATAACTTTTGATTTAGCGGAGCTATGACTTTCATATTTCACACGTGTATTCCTTGTGACAAGACCTTTCTTTGGGTACCACCAAATCTGTCCCTTTGTCTTTGACCTTGGCGTTTGACCTACATTTCAAAATTGGTAACCTTGACCATAGCTTCTGAAGGGTTAAGGCAAGTGTTTCCATATTTCACATATGTATTTTTTTTTTGGCAAGACCTTTCATTAGATACCAATAACCTTGACCTTTTGACCTCGGAGATATCAAGAAATCCCAATATATAATTTAAATTTGTATATAAGAAAAGTTTAACCTTTGAAATGTTGCCATACAGGGGCATAGGTGTTTCACAAACACATCTTGTTTGAATTGTATTTAATTGATTTACTTAAAACAAAAATTTATTTACTAAATCTAGGAGAATTCAGATCAGTAATTACTTAAATATGGTAGTCTAATCACTAATTGTCTGTGAGGAGGAGTTATCTTTCTTCTAAATATTCCTTCATGTGAAAAAAAAAGTCACACTAATAAAAATGCGATATTAAGTACTTGAAATGTTTAACCATTTTTAAAATGGTCCTTAAAAAGATACAACTTATTCAATTTTTAAGGCTTTCGAAGTTGGAATCAAATGTTTTATTGTTATATATAATAAAACAATTACAAAGAAATTGGCAAAAGAAATAGAAAGTATAATTGTTTCCATCATGAGTAGATGTCTTCTATTAAACTATTCAGAGGGCCCAATTAGGGAACTCTGATAAAGAAATCTGTGAGTAGTACTCACATGTCAGCGGGTCGGTACCTAGCATTGTTTCTAGTAAATAATGTCGATTTTAGTAAATATGATAAGTATTTCATTTACTTAGTATTCTTTTGAGTAATAATATTCTAGATTTTAATTAATTTCAGAATTACATTTACTTAGTAATAATTCATAAAATTTAGTAAATAGAAAGCATATTATCTCTAAATTAAGTAATAATAATTTAACAAAAATGAGTAGTTCATTTACTAACTTTAAGTAATACAATTCCTATAATTTAAGTAATTCTATTGATACTTAGTAAATCATTTTATAAGTAAATGAATTCATCCTTATTACTAATTATGTTTACAATTACTAACCATGATAGTCATTTACTTGCTATTCTGACTAAATGGATTACTAATAATTACTAGTTTTTCTTAATCTAATATCTTATTTTAAAAACAACAAGTAAAACTTTTTTTAGAGTGGGAAACGTGCATCTTAAAAAAAAATTGTTCGAAGCATAAATTATATACTGCATTTGATTTATTTCTTTTAGTTATCGGGTCACCTATTTCACAAATGCTTCAGTTAAAAAAATAAATCAAGGAACTATTTCTTTTAATAGACAATTCTCCAATCATAAATCTAGCTGCTCTCATAGTAAGCGGCGATCTCCACTTATGACGTCCAGTTCTAGACCTTTAAGTTGTCATTTTTGAAGGTCTACTAAAGGATTCTTCCAATGTATAACTAGTCCATCAATCTTTGAAACTCTTTTACTCTGTATAAACCAGTTTTCGAGACATTTATTTGTGTAGTTTCCTGGTACCCATCTTTTTTCCCGTATGAACAGGGGTCATACCCCGCTCCACACAACATTGAGGGATAATTGGGTGCGCTGCATTATCGCCCGACGTTGCCGTTTTTGACAATATCTAACTAATAGTGTTTGTGCATATAACATCATATTTTTCTTATTTATAATGTCAGAGTATTTATTTTTTCCACACAAGAACTTTGGATCATACAGTTTCTAAGGATTTAATTTTAAGTACATTATATTTCTATTTGTAATTTTTTTTTCTCTGTGATAACTCTTTGAAAGTTAGCGGAATTGATAATTCTACTGGAATGGAAATTTGGCAGGTCGATAGGTCAGGAGGAGCTAAGGAGGCCTAATATGCATGCAAATCTCGTCCGCATCTTTCTCTGTGTCTGACGCCAAGGAGGCCAAATATGCATGTAAATCTCGTGCCGCTGCGTTTGTGTTTGACTTCAGTGGGAGAGGAGTATTAAAATTGGCATGGGAGTCCTCGTTTAATTTATATCTCTGTCTACATTTTTAAAGTCCAAATCTACAATTTTATTTCACAATGAAATGGAAATATAAGGAATCGCTGTCTAGTTAGAATAGTATGCCAGGGACATCAACGATAGTGGGAAACATGGGATAATTTATGCATAGCGGGCTTCGACCGTTATGCAAATAATCCCATGTTTCCCACTATTGTTGATGCTTCTGGCATACTATACGAACAAGACATTGATTCCTTAAATATATCCACCCCTACTAATGTTATTGTGATTTAAATTCGAGACACGTGGTTTAGATTGACCCATTCAAAGGTTATAGGATGGAACCGGTTTTATAAATAAAATTGGCAGTAAATAAGAAATTGGTATAGTCTGTTTGAATAGCGTCTGTTTCTTTTGAAAAGATGTCCTGTGAAAAATGTGTTTCCAGACCTTTCTGAAAGACTTTCATGATTTTCAACAGAAAATAGTGGCTAAAGGGGGGGGGGATAAAATAACAATATATCTAATCATAATTTACGGCGAAAATTAGAGCACATTTGCGACCGATACACTGGTAAAAATGTGTAATATCATCTACACTTACAAACCTTTGTTTTCGTTATATGGCTATTGTTATTAATACGCACAGAGGTTCTTACCACGAGCAACTGACCAATCGTTGAATAGCAACGTTACGCCAAATACATGTTTACATTTTACTTCGAACACTTGGTTCAGGTCAATCTATGATCATGTCAATGGAGTGCAAAATTTAAAAAAAATTCTTATGAACAAAATACAAAGATTAGAAAGTATGAAAGATGTCACGGGCGTTTTTAATCTTTTTTAATTAGACAAAAATATGTTTAATAAAATGTACTTTGTGTCAAGTTCAGAACACCAGCGCTTCAACAAGGGTAAGGAAAACGAGCAGCATCTCATGCATTTAAATGGACGAAACAGTTTTTACATAACTATACTCGTGATCACGTGTTTTGGCCAGGGAATCCACCTGACAATTGTATTCACGGATAGTACAACAAAAGAATTAATAGAGACGCAAATCGCTTTCAATTGCAACATGACTTTGAGAAACCTAGACTTCCACCGTTTATTCAACAAATGAATTGTTTGTCATTGTGAGCATGAAAATAATACAATGTAAAAAAAAATGCTTTTCATTTACGAAATGGATGGAAAAATGGTCTTTGAGTCTTTCCGATCGCCATAAGATTTTCCCTTTCTTTCAAGCGTAAATTCCTGTAGTATTCGCAGTAACCCATAATGCAATTCTCATTCAGCTGATTGGTCAGTTAAAGTCATGTTGGTGCCTCATTTCCTAACCTGACGCCAAAAAATATAGTCCCGGTTCCCATGCTAGAATATTTGTCCGAAAAGAAATTTTAATTCATGACTGCAGAAATTGTATCATAGAGAATACTTATTTAAGTTTGAATGAATTAAAGAGAGATTGATTGAAGTACATTTCTACAGATATTATAGGGTGGTGAAAACAGAAACTCTTCTGTTTACATGTCTCCACGTGCAAGTCACTTCCTAACCACATTTCCGTGAATAATTTACCCTATCTCGCTGAAGTCTCGCTGACTCTCGCCAGAGCCACCGCCAGAGTTACTCTGAACTCATCGGATTTTATAATGTGCAGAATACTGAAGAATAAAAGGTTCCGAACACATTAGTAGGGGTGATATCCGTATAGTCGGATAATGACGAAATCATCGCTATCAATTCACATTTTGAAAATTAGTAAATTTCCGTGCGCCGACCACAGATATTTGAACTCTTTAAATGCTGTTTCTAAATGCATTTCACGTCACAATCATATTATTTAGCCACAATGATGAAAATATTATATCCCAGCATTGTACCAAAAATGAATAATTTTGGTCCGGTAGTTTATGAAATAATATGTTTTACGGTGTGACCGTTGGGGCGAGCGCAGTAATTTACACTTAAAAACCTATACACAGATTTTACTTGCACTGTCTATCCTCAGTTCATTAAAATAAGAGGAGAAAACAGAATAATTAGAAAGAGAATTCACTTCCCAGACATCGGGGTGTAAGTGACGAAAGAATGACGTCAAATTAAAAGTTATGTTGCGTTTGGACGCAAAACGATTGTTTTTTGGCATGGAGATTGCATTTAATCATTGTTTGTAATTTTTTCAAGTAAGTTGTTGCTATGTTTAAGCTACCATGTTGCTATGCACCGCAAAGGATTATTGGGAGTTTGGAATCTTTTCACGCGGTGAGATAAAAATTTCTTGGAACAATGTGCAGATTTCAACCCGAATTTCCTCCGTTCGTACACGTTAGTCTATTGAGCTCGCTGCGCGAGCGGCGCTTCGCGCCGCCTCGCTGCGCTCGCTATTAAAAAAGTTCTCGTTTTTCTGGGACAACCCTCGTATATACTTGTATTGCCATAGAGTGTGGTTTCAAAACAAACGTATTAAACTTAGGCACAGTACAGATTTCATTTGTAAATCAATGCTTTTTTATATATAAATTTGATGTCTTAGTCTGTAGTATAGTATAGTAAATATAGTTTGACAGACAAGTTGCTGAAACAAGAATATATATGCAGTCTCGTTAAAAGTTATCATTTTGTAAGTTCTGTGGTCGATACGATGACCTTGTCAGCAAATACTATTTTTCATTGAGTCGAATGATGACTGAAGTTTTTCATACTTATAGCTAGGTCATTATACACACACTGTCGACAGTTTTTTTTTCGTTATTTCCCGATCATGACAAGGTACACACGGTGGGTGTGACCGATCCGCAGGGGATGCTCACTTTTCCCTGGCTTCTGATCCCACCTCTGATGTTTTGGAGGTCCGGGTTTCCTCCGCTCCTGTTTTGTATTGTTTTAGGGAATTTTGAGATTGAATACTGTCCGTTATCTCCATATATTTCATTAAATAACAAGAAGCATTACAGAGGTCTGGGCATTTTTTTTCTTCATTTTCAATGTTTTTCTATGTCATTTAAAAACACTTCAATAAAATGAATTAAACTAAGTACTTGAATATTCCTAGAACTCAATACCAACGACATCCTTCTTTACATCACGTCAAACATATTGTTTAATGTTTACGTTTTGCCGAGTGTGTTCAAGTTGTTTACTCAGTCTGCACGCAGAATGGGTCACAGATTGACAATACCGATGAAATGGTTTCGCTTTCTCGCATTTCTATCTCGAATTTTCTGTATTATAATTTTAATATTTTTCATGCATACACAGTAATATTAAGGATAAAGTTTACTTTCCTTTGATCAATCAAACGTGTCACGAAACTCGTAGTTTTAATAATTTCTAGATACAAGTTTTATTATATTACATAATGTGAAATGCTTTAGCAACAAACAAATCATAATATCATTCTGAAAATTTGATAAAATATTAACTCAATTCTGTGTCAAAGCCCCCTTTCAGCTGATTTTAATGACAATTAATGTTTATTGACTGTGGAGTAGACTGTCATATGAACTATTTTGTAGAATGAATGTATGAATATCACCTGTTTTCCTGGTAAAACTTTGATGAATGGTAGCTGTCTGTCCCTCCTGAGGAACACAGAAAACCTACGATATACGATGGCCGTGAGATTCAAATTCATTGAGATTACCAGCAACATCTCCTTATACAATTACATGGTGAACATCCGCAAGTTAATTAAAAGAGATCTTTCTTATTCCTTCACGGGAACAATTTTAGTGGAAGATATTCTACTCATGTCGAAAGGAAACTGCAACTATAGAGCAAACAGGTTGGATGATATGTATATGTATCTAAAAATCTTTTTCCCGTTTAGTATTGAACGCGACAAGGTAGAAAATCAGCTTATTTCTTTGACAAACAATTCAGTATTATGGAACAATTATTTTCCTGACGTTTGGAAAGTAAAAGTTATACCAGATCAGACTTCAATATTCTTACCTTCATTGCTTTGGAAACTAGACCGCGAAGAAAACTGCTGGCTTTTTCCAGAAAAACTTCAATATGGTAAATCTGTTTTTCGAAATGTGTTAGTTGCTCCTTTGTTAACTTGTAACCAATTAGTTATGGATAATGATGCGTTTGGTGTACCATGGAAAAATATTCGTTTCGAGTATTCTCAGAAGGGAATAACACTGACGTTTCACCAGTTTCAGAGCTTTGACAATTCTGGGATTCGGGTCTGCGTAGATGATCTTGCTTACTACGTGGATACTTTTAGATTTCGTTTTAAAAATGAAAAAAATACATCATTAATGATGTTGAACATTGTTTGTATTGGAATTTCTCTTGTATGTCTGTTATTAACATTCGTAACATATGCCTCTTTTAAAAGTCTTAGAACCATACCAGGGCTTAATAACATGTTTCTTATATCTTCCTTATTTTTTGCTCAGTTACTTTTAATAGTAAGACCATTTTTAAGTATCAAGGATTTCAACACATCGACAGTTTTTCTTTCGTCATTAACTCACTTTTTCTGGCTAGCGACATTCTTTTGGCTACAAATTTGTTCCTTTCATATGTTTCGAGTTTTCACCTCTAGATTCGGCATTGACAAAAGAACGGATTGTCATAAAAATACAATACTGAAATACATATTATATGGATTTGGAACGTCTGCATCTATAGTGCTACTCAATATTGTCATATCAGTTATAATTTCTTCAGGTGAAACTACGGGCTATGACAAGACATCCACCTTGATGACACATAGAACTGCATTCATTGTTACTCTCATATGCCCTCTTACATATGTGTGTCTCACGAATATAATATTTTACATATCGGCAGTCTATAAAATTTTATCAAGTCCACATATTGAAAATTCTACTGGAAACAGGATTCACTTCTCAGTGTATATAAAGCTGTTCTCAATAACGGGGTTAACGTGGGTTCTTCAGATAGTTGACATGTTTCTCACGGTCTCTTTTCTCTCTTACATTGTTGCAATCTTAAATGGTCTACAGGGATTATTTATTTTCATAAGTTATGTTTGCAACATAAGAGTGTGCAAAATGTGGATAAGCATTTTTCGAACATTGTCTTCGACATCTTCCAATTCCAATTCCATTCTCCATTCAGTTAGATCTGAAACCACAGCTCTTTAAAAGCAATTTAATGCACGATTATATATATTGCAATTAATGTATTATATATATATATATATATGTTCTGTAATTTTAAAATAAACGAAATGTTTACTACTTCTCAAATTTTTATGCGCCGGGATCGAAAGAACCGAGGCGTATATTGTTTTTGTCTGTCTGTCTGTCTGTCTGTCTGTTTGTCTGTTTGTCTGCCAACTTTAACCTTCGCCATAACTTTTGAACCATAAAAAATAGAGACTTCATCTTTGGTATGCTTACACCACTGATTAAGTTCTTTTAAATGACACCATGGTCAATGACCTTGTGACCTTGACTGTGACCTATACTCTAGATATAGCTTTTTTGTCGGCAAACTTTAACCTTCGCTATAACTTTTGAAGGAAAAGAGATAGAGACTTGATATTTGGCATGTATGATTATGTATACTCCATTAATTTAGCCCTTTCACATGACAACAAGGTCAATGACCTTGTGACCTTGACGTTGTCCTGTATGCTAAAAATAGCTTTTTGAACCTTCACCATAACTTTTGAACCATGAGAGATAGAGACTTCATATTTGGTATGCATACTTCACTAGTCAAGTTCTTTCAAATGACATCAAGATCATTGGCCTTGTGACCTTGACTGTGACTATATGCTAAAAATATGGGATTTTTTTTATTCTGGAAGAGTACCAGATGTATATTTGTAGATATTCTTAACATTTAAAAAATGTTATCTATGAAGAAATTTCAATCCCAAGAGGGTAGTGGTAGGGCATGCTTATAACAATTCTTGACAAATACAAAAAACGTCACATCAGACGTAATTGTAAAGACATAGTCGTATTTATAATGTATACTTCATAGAGACAAATTAATGGTTGGAGCCTTACGGCAGTGATATTGCAGAGAGAGGGGATTTAACTCGGCATCTTTTTGGAAGGACCTACACCTATTCAACCCGTTTTAAGAGTTAATTATCAGTTCAAGTGCCATAATTTCATAAAACATTAGGCAGTTCTCTTGTTCTTTGTCCTTGACCAAAGATTATAAAGGAGTTATTTTATTCTAAATTGTAACATTATTGCATGAAAAAAATTTAATGTGATGAAATTTATTGAAATGAAGCCGGTATGTACATGTAACCATGTCTTATTTATTATATGATTAAACATTTACATCCGATACGCATAGGATAAAAATAAACCCAACAACGATTAAACACTCCGTGTTAATGCCCGGTATTTTTTCTGAAGATTCAAACAAATACATTTTCATCAAATCCATCCATTTATATGAATTCAATATGTATTAAACAGTTTGCGACATTCATTAAACTAAGGTCAATTAAATATTTAACTTTCGGAGAATGATAAGTATATCTGATCCTTTGTTACTAAATTTTCTCATCTTGAAAAAGTAAACAGGGAAAATACAGTCTATTTTGAAATTACATTTATACAAAACGTTTATGAATCTAGTACTTGGAGATAAAATAAACGTTCCATTTTCAGATAATATACATACATTGATCATGCCCATACAAATAAAACGCAATGTTTGATATTTTAAAGGAAAACTTTCAAAAATCACCTACAAGTAAACATGTAATATAGAGAATGACGAAGACTACTGTAAAATTTTTCTTGTTTTTGTCAGCTGGCATTACTATATACTGCTGCCCTAGAAAACCTATATTCTGCTGCCCTGAAGTTTTCCGGCATGGCTTCTATTTTGATGGATTTACTTTTGGAACCATGCATGACGCATGCCTGCGTCAAAGAGTGTCTCTTGCGCAAACACTGTCAATCTATGAATTATAATACACGTTATTTTTTATGTGGCTTAAATAACAGATTGGCTGACATTAAATTGAAAGGCATTTCAAATCCTGAATTCATTTTTGCCAATGTAGCGAATTCCTCTCAGGTAAAAAAATTACTCAGAATTATTTATCAACTTTAAGCTAATAATGTTTATAGAGAGAAAAATGGTTTTGGGTAAAATTTACATTTTGGTTAAATTGATGTATTGACAAAGTGCAGCCTTATATATGGAATGTGTTTTTATCTAAATTTGTATATTTCTTTAAAGCCATACTTCTATAACAATTTTACGTGATATGCTAAAAAGTAATCATAAAATTTCGCAAAAATATCATGTTTAAAATAAACAAATGTTTTGTCTATAATGTCAAAAAATATTTTTCTTTCTTAGAAATCACTGGGTGTATGCAAAGATTTTACTTGCCCGTTGTCTTTCAAGTGTATCAAAAGAACTTTCAATGCGGCATGTATTTCAACAGGTACTACTAAAAGTTTTTATTTTAAAGTTTTCGTAAAATGATTTTTATCATTGCTCATTTGAGCCCAAGCTCAGTTAACTTTTCCAATTATAATTTGTCTATTATCAATCTATCTGTCTCTCTGTTTACAAATTTGTCGAACATTCAACTTCTCAAAAACCACCCGACAAATTCCAACTAAACTAACAATGAATCATTCTCGGGTTAAGGCATTCAGCTTTGTTTAAGCTTAGGAATAACTTGCTTTCCTGTTGGGATAATGAGAAAAAAAATTATGGAATCATTTTAAACAGCTTCTTTTCAAGAACCACTTGGTCAGAGAGTATAAAATTTATGTCGAATCACTATCAGGTCGTTTAATAATGACCCTGAGAAAAGACTGGATGAAAATTTTACAAATGGGTACATAGGTTGTTTTTTTTTTTTTTAATTTTTCTCAAGAACAACAAAGTCACAGTTAATTATATTTGTATGAAAGCATTCTCAGGTACTGAGGAATTGAATTGAAATTCAGATTTTGACCAGTAAGGAGCAAAGATGAAGCATTATAAAGAATAATAGATTTAAAGTGCAAAAAAATATATAGTTAAAATTTAATCTTCTTTTCTAGAACACAAAGCCTCACTGGTCATATCGATTCAAAAGCCTTCTCAAGTAATTTGGAATTAAGTGTGTTCGATTCATATTCTGGTGATAGACCATCATGGAATACTTAGATCTAATAGTGAGAAAATCTTCGAAAACTTCGACATTCAGAAAAAAATATGTAGAGGCATCCTTGGTTTTATACAGAAGCTTGTTCAAATTATAACCAACCCTTCCGGGTGAGAGGGAGTCTTTTAAACCATTAATGGCAATAATGAATAAGGATCGATTATTCCAAGGTTCAATGCTAGAGATTATATCTTTAGTCAGAAAAGCTTTTTGAAAAACTTTTTTGTTATAAAATTAAACTTCTCCATACTGAACTGGTTTCTGGTTTTTTTTTCTATAACCCGGCCAAGTCCATAGATGAGTGATGGAACCTCTTGTTTCAGATTTTTTTTTTTACTTTTTATTTTTCTAAAACTATTTTTCTTCATAATAATTCAATGTTTACCAATTATGATGATTAATAAATAGATTGCGCAGAGGGAAAAGACGGGCGATGTTTGCCTTGCCCTGCTGGTCAATATAACGATAGAAATATCGCGTCCTGGTGAGTTAAGTGCCCGAACGGAACCTATCAAACCCAGAGAGGATCAACTTTCTGCAAACCCTGCCCAAGCGGAACCTTCCAAAATAAGCCAGAGAAGCCTTCTAAAGGTCAAATTCTTAAAGATGCATTATACAAATAGATATGTTAATTTAATATTTTACGCTTTCTAAACTGCATTTGTCTTAAGAGCTTAAAAATTGCAAATTATCGCGTTTATATCAATTATTTTGTGATAGATTGTACCCGGTATTTAAATATTAGTTCAGAATATTTTTTTGTAATCTACATGTCGGTATCAATTATGAAAAATACAAATATACACTAATGAAAATTTCATATTTTCTAAATGGAATTTTCATTTTAGATTCCTGTCAACCTTGTCGAGTTGGATTTCACCAGCCATATAAAGGTAGAGAATTATCTATATATCGGAACTTATCAGGCATCTACAGGTGCAACCTTTATCACAATATGGAAACTTATAGGTTTAAACAAGTCAAATCGTTTATTTCGATGTTTTAAAATTTATCAGGTTTATACTGATAATGAGTTTATTCATTATGCTCTTCCAAAATTGCCTTAACTGCAATACGTAGCTATTCAAAATCTCCACATTTCTACATAAATGTATGATATGAAAAATGTAATCAAGCTCAAAATTTATTTGTATGAAATTTTGTATTGTGATATACTGGCTTTGTACTTTTAATATTTACTGTGCATCAATATATCAAGGAAGTGGTCTAAATCAAATGTGGATACTTAAAAATTCCAAGGAACTTTTTAACAATTTGAAATCACAAGATTTAACCAAGATTAACCACTTAAAACTTATAAACAACCATTCCCCGAGATAAAAACACTTTCTTTGGCCTTCGACTCGACTCGACATTTAGGTATAACGACGACGTATTGTCATTTAACAATGGTAATGTCCATTCCTATATCAATCAATTCGATATATCCTTGTGAGCTTGTGATAAAAGAATCCAAAGAGTCTGACACAACTGTTTCATATATGGATACTTTACTTGAAAAAATGTTAATGGTAATCTAAAAACAGCGCATTATGATAAACGTGATGATTTCAGTTGATTTGATACGCAAGAGCATGTTCTACATATGAACTAATTCTAAACTGAGGTAAAATATAAATAAACAAGTTGATGAAACAAGATCATAAGCAGTCTCGTTTAAAGTCATCATTTCGTAAGTTCTATGGTCGATACATTAACCTTGTCAGCAAATACAATAAATCATTGAGTCAAATGCTGACTGGCGTTCTTCATACTAATTGTTAGTCCTTGATTTATACACTGAATTGACGACGGGTTTTTTTTGCTATTTCCCGATCACGACAAGGTGCACACGGTGGGTGTGACTGGTCGGCAGGGGATGCCCACTTCTCCATGGCACCAGATCCCACTTCTGATGTTTTGGAAGTCCGTGTTTGATCTGCTCCTATTTTTTTTTATTGTTTTAAAGACTTTCGATCTTGACTGCTGTTCGTTATC